ACTCTGGCAATTATTTATTGATGGTCCATCTACTATACTTCTGCCAAGTTTGATGACATGACACCAAATTTTGTCAGAAATAAAGGGTCACTTTCAAAATTTATTGATCGCCCCTTGTATATATTAGCATAGTTATGTTTTGGATAGTGTAAAGGGAAGGTTCAACTTATTTGTTTAATCATCAAGAATGAGATATGTAATCAGATAAAGTGTCATTTCTTTCACATACGTTCATTGTCTTTGAATTTTACATGTGTACATTTTTATGTTAAGTGTCTTGATATGTAACAGGCCTCCTAGACTTCCAACAATGCACACGTCAGTTCTGACCTTGCGAGCTTCGTTCCTTTGCACTCGAACCACAATAATCACAATAATAATCGCGAACGCAAAATCTTTAACCGTGCACCACCATTTACTTGTTCCCAAATATATTTCTCCACTCGCGCACAGAGATTGAACAGGGAACAAATTGTACATTATATACATCATGGAGTTTAGGATTCCAAGTTATGTGCCAATATAAAGGACGATGTCAACAGTCAACTTAGTGAAACAAGAAAACAATTTTTTTCGATAAGGGATGTGGTTCGCTGTACCGATCTCTGTGTGAGAGGAGAAATATGTTTGGCAACAACCCAAGTAAAAAGAAATGGCAATTCTCATGTAATAATTGGTTAACTTTGGTCTAATAATTATGCATTTTGATAAAAGTTAACCTATTTGTTAAATGAGCATTAAATCAATGAACGTTGAATGCCAATAAATAGCTATTTATTACACCTATTTATTATTCTAACAACTATGTTATAATGCTCTTTGAATAATTGGGTAACTTTTTGTCATCCTTGCTACCCTAGGGGATAAAAATTAGCTAATTGTTAAGATTGGACTTAAAAAAAATGTGGCAGTGAGTATTAGCAAAATATTAACTTTCCCGCTCTTTTTAAACCAAAAGAAAAATGGCTGACAAAGAATGTTCAACTGTAAGAGATTTGGGTAATTTTATGATTTTATAATAATAGTATGAAAATGACCAATCAAATATAGATTCAGAAGTTACTGACATACTTGAACATTCTGCATGTCTACTTTGTGAGAGGTAAAATGTAAGTATTGCTGTTTTATTCCAGTTTAGATGGGCAAATCTTCTTTTCTTTCTGAATTTATAAAGGCTAAATTTTAATTCTATTCATACAGTCAAAGTGGTCAAGCATAAATGTGTTGTGTATGACTAATTGTACCATGCAGTAAAAATATAAGGTATTTTATAAAGATTATGAAGATAAATACTGCTGGAGGCCTAGAGGGTCCTTCAATTACTGTGAGCCTTCTTGCCTTCAGGACAATTCTGATCGATGGGTAAAATTACCAGCGATGTCCCATAATAATTGCTTATATCATCTTACATACCCAGGGCCAACCTAAAATGAACAATTTGCTTGAGATTTCCAAAAATTGTGGTACTTTTACGGGAGATTTTTACAAAATCTGGAAGTTTTTTAAAAAATTGTTAGTTTTCGCCGTAGATTTTAAAAAATCTGGAGTTTTTGAGGTGAAATAACTGGAGTTTTTACGGTAGATTTGAAATAAACCGGTACTTTTTTTTATAAAAGCGGATTATCTCCAGTTTTTTTTCTAATAAACGCAATAGTTTTTGCGGTAAATTCTGCAAAAAGTGGTACTTTTGTGGGAGATTTTTGACAAAATCTGTATAGTTTTTGCAAGAGAATTTGCAATGAATTAATTTATACGCTTTGCATGGCCAGATTTGAATATTCACGCGAATTACATTTACGTCACATATTTACTTCGAATTTGTGTGTCCCTACCCATTTTGTAGACCATAATGCATCTTGGGTAAGAGTAATGCAACAAATAGGTTTTAAATAGCTAATAATTAGGTAATACTCTGTTAATTCTTAGCTAACGAATACCTAAAAAATTTATCATGCAAATTAGAGAATATTACCACAATAAATATGTACAATATTTAGGTAATATTCTGTTAACATATAGCTTATTATTGGAAGATAATAAATACATGATTATTAGATTTCTAATTTTACCTTATTGTTACAATGTAATTTTCATTTGATAATCAGTCAATATTCTACATGAGCGTTGAATGTTAACAATACCTTATTATTAACACCTATTTATTAACGTAATTCTCTCTAATTTGCATGATAAATTTTTTAGGTATTTGTTAGCTAAGAATTAATAGAGTATTACCTATTTATTGTCAATATTTTCCCATTGACTTTTTTCACTTGGGAAGGAAATAGTGGTGCACGGTTAAAGATTTTGCGTTCGCGATGTGAGAACCATGGTTCGAGGGCAAGGTACGTAGTTTGCGGGGTCAGAACTGATGTTCGCATGGCCTGTCAAAAGTCTCTTTACAATTACAATACAATCTTGGAAAAGAGTCCCTGTACATGTATAGTAACTACCATTGCTAACCTACATATCTTGTTCTAAGCTTATCTATGTGAAAATATATTGGAGAGACCAAAGTCCAAACTACAATTGGATAAACCATTGTTTTTTCAGCAGTAATATTACACATGTTTAATACAATATACTAATCAGCTTGATATCCTTTTGGATACATAAAGCATTTAATTACAAAATTTTTTGTTATAAAATAATGGCTTGTTCATTACGCTACTTCTTGCTGGATTTTAGAAGAAAAATGAATTTGAATAAGGAAAGAAAATGGAAAAATGAGAAATGCAGGTATCATATTACATTCTATATGGCTTTTGCTATGGAAAATATAGCCTTAGATACAAACATATAACATTTAACATACATACATACAATTAAGATTTATGATTTTTCAAAAGTAATTTCTTGGTATCAGTTTTAAATTCATCCCTGCTATTGATTTCTCTAATTGAGTTTGGAAGTTCAATCAAGATAATTTGACCAGTACGCTTAATGAATTTTTGACCAAATGTTGATCTAAAGTTATTAGCTCTAAGATCAAATCTATTTCTTGTATCTCTATTATGGATTAAACTGTTTGCAATAAAGTAATCATTATACATGGTTGTAGGAAATTCTTTTTATACAATTCAAATAAATCAAATACATCAAGAAGCTTATATTTTTTAAAAAGGGGGGCAGATGGTGTCTTTCTTGGGCTGTTTGAAATAAGTCTCAGAAACTGTTTTTGCAGTTAAAAAATTCTATCCATGAGTCTTTTAATTGCAGTTCCCCATATGAGAATGCAATACTTCAAAAGTTTTACTTGTTATGTACCTTAAATAATATACCCAGTATTTGGGAGATCTTAAGAGAAACATGTTATGTCACCACCAAAAAGTGGTGACATATTGTTATGGCGATCGGCGATCAGTGTCTGTAACAAATTCTTACAACTTCCAATAACTTAACAAATACTGTTGAAACTGACTTCAATGTTTTTCAAAATCATCTACATGTTTCCAGAAGTTCAAATCTGACTTTTTATTTAAGATTTGACCTTTAATGACCTTTTCAAGGTCAAAAAGGTCTTTTTTTAACTTGCTTCAAGTTGACCAATTTTTTTTTCAAATCATCTACAAGTTATCAAAAGATCAAATCTGACTTTAGATTTGAGATTTGACCTTCAATGACCTTCTCAAGGTCAAAAAAGGTCAAAAAGGTCTTTTTCAACTTGCTTCAAATTGACCAATTTTTTTTCAAATCATCTACAAGTAGTTATCAGAAGTTCAAATCTGACTTTAGATTTGAGATTTGACCTTCAATGACCTTCTCAAGGTCAAAAAAGGTCAAAAAGTCTTTTTTCAACTTGCTTCAAATTGACCAATTTCTTTTTTCAAAATCATCTACAAGTTATCAGAAGTTCAAATTTGACTTTAGATTTGACCTTCAATAACCTTCTCAAGGTCAAAAAAAGGTCAAAAATGTATTTTTTCAACTTGCTTCAAGTTGACCAATCTTTTTTCAAAATCAGCTACAAGTTCTCAACAGTTCAAATCTGACTATAGATTTGACCTTCAATGACTTCTCAAGGTCAAAAAAGATTTGACATTCAATGACATTCTCAAGGTCAAAAAGGTCTTTTTTCGTCTTGCTTCAAATTGACCAAGTTCTCAGAAGTTCAAATCTGACTTTAGATTAGAGATTCCACCTTCAATTACCTACCCAGGGTAAAAAAAGGTCCTTTTACAACTTGCTTGACCAATTTATTTTTTCAAAATCATCTACAAGTTCTAAAAAATTCAAATCTGACTAAGATTGAACAACAAGGTGGTGACATTTTGTCATGTTAATGCCTTGTTTGATATGATCTTCCCATGATAAATTATCATCAATTATAATACTCAAAAAGTTAGTTGTGTTTATTTGTTCTATATTGATTTGTCGTATCTTTATATTCAGAAGATGGGATTCGTTTTGACTGATTTTACGGAATGAAAATAACATGAATTTAGTTTTGTCTATGTTTAGTGAAAGTTTGTTAACCTTTAGTCGGTTATCTAATGTTATGAGGTCATTGTTGATAGAATGAACTAATGTCTTTAAATCATTTACCAGAACCAAGAAAATTTGTATCATCAGCAAAGATTGTTAGTTTTAGAATAGTAGTTGCTTTCACAATGTCATTAATATATATTAAAAATAGAATTGGTCCAAGAATTGATCCTTGGGGTACACCACACAATATTTCTGTAGGGTTTAATACACAACCATCATATTCAGTAATTTGAGGTCGATTTGATTAGTAACTAGCAACCCAATTTGTTAACTCTGGATAAAATTTTTGGGAGGGATATTGAAAAAAAATCAAACCTTCATGGTGTGGTAGGTAGATGGAAATCCACCTAGGTGGGGGCAGCAGATTAAACAAATCCATCACTGATAGCCAAGCTATGACTGCCTGAAATCACTTGCCATATAATACCTGGCTGTATCAGTTCTTGAGTAGTTCCATATAATCATACAGGAAAGGCTTTCACTTTTAATGTGATCATTTGTTTGTTTTGCAGGCATCACTCAGAGAGACTGTGGCAGCTGCTTTCCCCACATCAACAATGAAAAATCCAGTATCATCGCAGACATATCTGCCTTCCACTATCATGTTATTGGAGACAAATTCCCTGACAGTTCATGTGAGTATTCTACAAGCCGTAATCATGCGTTGGGAAAGCATGCTCCCCCATGGCGGACAAATCTTTCAATCCCAACCCATGATATCAGATAATTGTATCAACTCATGTTAGTCTGCATTTGAGTATACTCACATAATTGGCCTTCCCTTGTGTCTCCCTTTATAGAAGCTCTGAATTTACACTTATTAATGTTGAAATTGGTGATTTATCCATACATTTTAAGAAAATAGGTATGTCAAAAGGAATGTTAAGCCAAATATTGACCTGATAGCTCTCTCTTAGGTCCTTGTTGCCCCTTTAAGTAGAATTATTTTCCCTTTGGGTTTTGTACAAATTCATGTAAATGTCAAACTAGTATTGTTTGTACCCAAAATAATGTGTAAATCGTTATATTTCTGGTTTATGTAAACATTGTTTTAGTTCATACAATATGTACAGTATACTGGTATATATAGTACTATCTTAATAACATATGAACGAAAAACGCCGACGCCAACTTGCAAGTACTGACAAATGAGACTTGAGTAAAATTCATTCCCATTAATATATGTATGGTGCACATTGTTTGGGTGTTCACATGTGGAAGTATCCTTTCAGAAAGCATCGGATGGCTTCAGAAGCATGTGCAAAGTTATGCTTCTGTTTGCATGTTTACATTTCTAATCGTCATAATTTACAATTTATCCAATTCACAGAGCTGCGTTTATTGGATTCGTTCATATGGAAGGTGGCTTAAGAACCAATTTATGTGTTTGCACCAGTTGATATAACTCATTGAAATAAAGTCTTTAATTTCACCGATCAAAATGAGATACGGGACAATGGATACTGTAATTACCATATGCGGTTGTCCTTCTAAATTACCCAAATTCAGATTCCGTTGTCATTGACGATATCGAAGATGCTATATTGTGGCGATTCACGACCCAATTTGATCGAAAATGGGATTTCATATGATACATAATCACAAGAGCTTAATACATGCACAGAATTAGCGACGATAACATCCCATGAAATGAGGACCAAGTGATTAAAAAGTTGAAGCGACGGTTATGTCCCCCATTTGTGACAACGGTATCTCACTTTACCATTGTCAGGCTATTCCGGTGTGAGAGTCTAGTTTTAAACTATCCTCTGCCTAGTATAGACTATAGCCTTTAGCAGCCCCACCCTGAAGATTGGTGCCTGTGACAGCCCGGGTAATAAATAATTTTAAATCGACCATGTGACCCTTTCTCAACCAATCAGCAAAGTGGAAGGAACAGGTGCTAAATACATGCTCATTAACTTTCCAGGAATGTCAGAGGAAATGACCATATAGAAAGTTGTCTATATTTCGACGACGAACTCTGATTGGCTCGGTGAGATCAGAGATTTATTGTAAACTGAAAGAGTGAAGACGAAGCTCTCTTTAAAGAAGTGAAGTCGAACGAATGCAAAGGGTTCAGTTCCATTTCACATCAGTTCCCAGGACTTATTCATATGGATATTGTACTAATGCATATCAGTATTGTAGCATTAAAGTGAGTATTTCACCAAATTATGCGGTTATTGTACCAATTTATATGTGTATTGTACCCATTCAAATGGGTATCTACCAATTTAGTCTATGCAAGTATCAATATATGTGGATATTGTACCAGTATAACTGAGCCTGTTAGTGTTGTACCAGTACATATAGATAATGAACTGTGATATAGTAAGATTAAAAGGTAGATACTCATAGTAAGTAGCATATTGACATGAACCAATCCAAGATCTTCGCATGTTTCAGATGTATTTGATATCTACAGGAAACAACAGGGGAAGGTCTATCTCATAGATTTCAACCCATTTGGAGTTGTAACCGACAGTCTGTTATTTGATTGGGAAGAACTGGAGTCATATACATCTGATACACAATTGAAAAGCACTTCGGGAGAATCAAGTCAGGTTAGTATAAAAGGTGAACTTTGAAGTATTGGGGGGACATCAATTGGTCTCCAAGACAATTAATTAATTAAGTCAACTGGAAAATTGATCTATTCTGTATGAATTTCAAATGTGTGATTGACTTTTAAGAATTTGAATTCTTGTAATGTACTGAATCTAACTCCTTGATCCGATTTAGATGAAAATACCAAAGATATCAAATAAATATTTGCTGCATTATTTGATGTTCTTTGTATTTGTTCATAACGTACAAAAAAATTTAATTTACAGTGTTCGTGAAATATAATTTAGATTTTAATGATAAACAGCATCACAATAGGAACTAGGAAGGTATTCTTATCTTGCATTGGAAGTTTTAGTATGGATTTTACTTTTTACTAATCTGACCATCAAATTGCTGTTTCAGTTGAGAGGCTTCTTTTGTCTTGATGTGAAATCTCAAATTATGATATGGCTTAACAAGATAGGAATGATTTTTATGTCACCGCATAAAAAAGTATTGTTTGTTATAGTCTAACTTTTTGGTGGATGGAATTCAGCATTTGGTGTCTGCAACATATGGCAGGTGGTGCATGTTAATGCCTTATAACTGTTTTATTGGATGTTTTTGTATGCAATTTACAGGTCCCAGCATTCAGATATATTGACAGTTCCACAGGGGTGCAACCTGATCCATATTCACAGTATGCAATGCCTGTAGATTTCAAAGACCTAACTTCAGGGGAAGATGCCTACAAGCTTGTGGACTTTCTCAAAATGGTAGGGGTGAAGTTATATCAGTTGTCCCAAAAAATGAGCCAGTTTTTGACAAGTTTTATCTCAGCAACTGATTCACAAGCATGTCATAATATCCCTTACTGGAGCAACGCAATGAGAACTCAATAGCATTTGTACCAAAAATGAGAAGCAATTTTTTGACAAGTAATTTCTCAGCATTAGAAGAGCTAAATTCTTTGGAAACTTTACCTGAGGCTCTTTAGGGTATTTTCTACTAGTGCCATGAATATTGAAGAGATTGGTTTCATATTATGTGTGTATTCTAGAATTAAAGACAGTATGTCAAAATACTAGTAACCAATATCAAATGTAAAAGTCACTTATTAATTCATTTCCGAGCAAAAATACTTCCGTATTTATTCTAACAATATCACCTCCAATGACTTTTGAGAATGAATTGGATTTTGAATATTTGTGATTAATGAAAAGAATTAATCAGACATCACTAGTCTCCCACCAAACGCAGTGAAGACCGAGCATGCGAAGATGATGCTGGTACAAACACTATAGAGGTGTCATATCAGAGCTCCGGTATGGGAGTTTTTGACATGCTATTTTGAATTTCTTAATACTCACAGCTCACAGAATATTTACTTGATCTTGTTTATATTTTTAAAACTTCCTAAAGATACTCTTGGGCTACTTCTTCGTTGGTTTTCAGTGAATTTGCTTCATCAGTTGTCGAGATAATACTCTTCAAAAAGTGGCTCATTTTTTTTCATGAATGTGATGAGATTTCTTTTATCGTAACGCATCTCCTCAAATTAAATAAATGCAAACACCTCAATGTGAACACCTGCCAACACAAACACTTTTGGCCTGTCCCAGTGGTGTTCAGATTAGATAGGCTTTACAAAATCCACATGGATGTTCTTATTTATGAAATTTGTGTTCTTATTTATTTCTCAAATGAAAATATAGATTCTTTGACAAAATGATGTTCTTTTTTCAGAAAATTCAAGGCCAAGAAAACGACAGCTCTAGTTCTGATGATGAACCAACAGTTGCCATAGAAACTACCACAGTTACAAATACAACAGAATCACATAGTAAAGACTTTAAACAGACATCAACTTCAAAAAGCTAGCATACTTTGTTCATATTGATTTTAATAATCGGTTTTAAAATGGCTAAGGAGTCAGCCTTGTCAGACTGTATTTCTGTTTGTTAAACTAATCTCCAACAGCGAGTTGATATTGAAAATATTGATACTGGCAATATTTGTGATTTTATGTACAGTACATGTACAGTATATTGATACTGTAAATCTATTAAGAATATAAGCAACCCGAGTGTATAAATAATTTAAACATGTCATATTTTTATCACATCCAACTTTTTGTTGGACAATGTTCCACAGTCAGCATATGTAACAAATAGCAGGTGGTGATATTTTGCATGTTAATGCCTTTGACAGTTTCTTGAAAGCTACAGAGATGAGACATTTAATTAGATTGGCAGGGAGCAGAAATGTGAAGTCACCACTAAGATTGAAATGATATCAGAATCTTGTTACATGTGCACTATCAAAGGATAATCTGGATTGTCGTTTTACTTTATCAGATTTTTATCACAGTAAAAAAAACTGCCTTTTACGTCATTATGCATTTATGTTTTTCCCAGTTCATGAAAACTTAATACAAGGCATTAACATGGAAAATGTCACCACCTGCCAATTGTTACAGATGCCAACCAGTCACAAAATAGAGACCATAACAATGTCAACTTTTTTTTTGTGGTGACATAAAAACACTACCAAAATACTGAGGTTAAATGGCATCAAAATAACCCTTGCTCGTAAAAGTATAGGACATATTGTTGACGGCACTTTTCACTAGCCTAGAAAATAACAAATCACATTAAATAATTTTTTGTTTCATTTATTCCTCATTACCATCAAAAGGCCATTGCAACATATTACATGATTACATACATTAAACATACATTGACTTCATCGCTATCATCATAAAGAAAGCAAGTTACAACAAAACCCGAAACATGCTATAACAAGAACATACAGGCTGATCATTTAAAAATTTATAGCTCTGATGCTGAAATTGTTATTGCTCACTGAACTGAAAAGCCTCGAGAAAATTCTCAATCCACCAAACAGGCCCTAGAGGTTACCCATGTTTAGCATCACAGAGAGGCTGTTAAGTGACTGGTGTCGCTCTAACAATACAATAGATGATAAAACACTCACTGACGTAGATACAAAGTGGCTCAATTCTTCGAATTAACTATAGCGAGTACTTTAGCATCCACCCAGCCATCCGACTAAATCATGGGGATTCATAAATCCTTCACTCTTTGTTGTGATCAAACTTCCGTCACAACAGCCTTTGATATCAAAATCCAATGACTTTCATACAAAAAATACTTTTACCCAATGTACATACATTAATACCAACACTAAAACATGAATTCAACTACTTGAAAAATGACAATGATTCTCGTAAAATGATGTAAACATCTCAACTCATCTGACTTCATGGTTTTTTACTATTGCCCAAATCATACACATTTTGCAAGAAAAGCGCAATTCAAAAGCTTAACACTATATGACATATTATAGATAATACAGAAAGGAATGATAATGCTATATGGATTTAATGATATCTTCTCAAGTCCCATATTATTTCATGAGAGTAAAAGTAGAAAGCTCCAAGATACTTGAACAGTTTAATATGGCAGATAAGAGTATTAATCAAAGTGAACTAAATCTAGATAAACTAATAGACAGTAGAAAAAAGAGATCTTATAACTACAGCTATGGTTTAACTATCTATATTGCAGTATATATGAAAAGACACACTAGGGCTTCATAATGCTATCTCCTCAATGGTTTGTTGCCACTTGTATCCTTTCATATATATAGTCCGTCTATTTTCATATATCCGAGATCTTTCCATCCCACTCTGTTAGAACACTGTGTGTGGCTTGTTACCAAAGCTCCCCATCTTTTTCTTTAGCAGGGACCTCAATGACTCTTGGTTTGTCGATAATTCTGGCTGACCGGGTGCCTTTCTCGACGATACCTATAATCCAGGCTTGGTAGCCTTCTGTCTTCTCAATGTCTTTACAATATGCTGCAGCTTGTTCACGGGGTAGGGCTATTAGTAAACCACCTGGAGAAACAAGCAAGACAATTTACATTTACCTGGGGAAACATTGTCAAAGTTGACACCACTGCATGATACTAGTGAGTTCAATATGTTAGCACAACACATATGCTATTAAGATTGATTTCCATAAATGAATGCATTACATTTTTCAAGTAAAATATTTTACACATGTTCTTTTTCAATTTCTAAAAATTATTTCCTAAACATTCAAAAAAATATAATAATGTTATTTTGTTCACATGAAGGTGGCTTAAGAACCAATTTATGTGTTTGCACCAGTTGATGTAGGTATTGTACCAATACATATGGATATTTTAGTGATTCATGTGGGTATTGTGCAAATTCATTTGAGTATTGCACTAATTCATGTGGGTATTGTACCAATTCATGTGTGTATTGTATCAATTCATTTGGTTGCACCAGTTCATTTACCCTTTGCGCAGAGTCACCCCGGAATAGCCTGACAACGGTAAAGTCAGATACCTTTGTCACAAATGGCAGACATAACAGTCGCTTCAATTAGATTTTCATGAACTGTATATTTAATAGAGCACCTAGACTAAATTCCTTTGGAACAACAATCAATGAAAGTGCCTTGATACTCATTGTACAGTTAATAATGTTCTACCATTGAAATAAAGTCTTTAATTTCACCGATCAAAATGAGATACGGGACAATGGATACTGTAATTACCATATGCGGTTGTCCTTCTAAATTACCCAAATTCAGATTCCGTTGTCATTGACGATATCGAAGATGCTATATTGTGGCGATTCACGACCCAATTTGATCGAAAATGGGATTTCATATGATACATAATCACAAGAGCTTAATACATGCACAGAATTAGCGACGATAACATCCCATGAAATGAGGACCAAGTGATTAAAAAGTTGAAGCGACGGTTATGTCCCCCATTTGTGACAACGGTATCTCACTTTACCATTGTCAGGCTATTCCGGTGTGAGAGTCTAGTTTTAAACTATCCTCTGCCTAGTATAGACTATAGCCTTTAGCAGCCCCACCCTGAAGATTGGTGCCTGTGACAGCCCGGGTAATAAATAATTTTAAATCGACCATGTGACCCTTTCTCAACCAATCAGCAAAGTGGAAGGAACAGGTGCTAAATACATGCTCATTAACTTTCCAGGAATGTCAGAGGAAATGACCATATAGAAAGTTGTCTATATTTCGACGACGAACTCTGATTGGCTCGGTGAGATCAGAGATTTATTGTAAACTGAAAGAGTGAAGACGAAGCTCTCTTTAAAGAAGTGAAGTCGAACGAATGCAAAGGGTTCAGTTCCATTTCACATCAGTTCCCAGGACTTATTCATATGGATATTGTACTAATGCATATCAGTATTGTAGCATTAAAGTGAGTATTTCACCAAATTATGCGGTTATTGTACCAATTTATATGTGTATTGTACCCATTCAAATGGGTATCTACCAATTTAGTCTATGCAAGTATCAATATATGTGGATATTGTACCAGTATAACTGAGCCTGTTAGTGTTGTACCAGTACATATAGATAATGAACTGTGATATAGTAAGATTAAAAGGTAGATACTCATAGTAAGTAGCATATTGACATGAACCAATCCAAGATCTTCGCATGTTTCAGATGTATTTGATATCTACAGGAAACAACAGGGGAAGGTCTATCTCATAGATTTCAACCCATTTGGAGTTGTAACCGACAGTCTGTTATTTGATTGGGAAGAACTGGAGTCATATACATCTGATACACAATTGAAAAGCACTTCGGGAGAATCAAGTCAGGTTAGTATAAAAGGTGAACTTTGAAGTATTGGGGGGACATCAATTGGTCTCCAAGACAATTAATTAATTAAGTCAACTGGAAAATTGATCTATTCTGTATGAATTTCAAATGTGTGATTGACTTTTAAGAATTTGAATTCTTGTAATGTACTGAATCTAACTCCTTGATCCGATTTAGATGAAAATACCAAAGATATCAAATAAATATTTGCTGCATTATTTGATGTTCTTTGTATTTGTTCATAACGTACAAAAAAATTTAATTTACAGTGTTCGTGAAATATAATTTAGATTTTAATGATAAACAGCATCACAATAGGAACTAGGAAGGTATTCTTATCTTGCATTGGAAGTTTTAGTATGGATTTTACTTTTTACTAATCTGACCATCAAATTGCTGTTTCAGTTGAGAGGCTTCTTTTGTCTTGATGTGAAATCTCAAATTATGATATGGCTTAACAAGATAGGAATGATTTTTATGTCACCGCATAAAAAAGTATTGTTTGTTATAGTCTAACTTTTTGGTGGATGGAATTCAGCATTTGGTGTCTGCAACATATGGCAGGTGGTGCATGTTAATGCCTTATAACTGTTTTATTGGATGTTTTTGTATGCAATTTACAGGTCCCAGCATTCAGATATATTGACAGTTCCACAGGGGTGCAACCTGATCCATATTCACAGTATGCAATGCCTGTAGATTTCAAAGACCTAACTTCAGGGGAAGATGCCTACAAGCTTGTGGACTTTCTCAAAATGGTAGGGGTGAAGTTATATCAGTTGTCCCAAAAAATGAGCCAGTTTTTGACAAGTTTTATCTCAGCAACTGATTCACAAGCATGTCATAATATCCCTTACTGGAGCAACGCAATGAGAACTCAATAGCATTTGTACCAAAAATGAGAAGCAATTTTTTGACAAGTAATTTCTCAGCATTAGAAGAGCTAAATTCTTTGGAAACTTTACCTGAGGCTCTTTAGGGTATTTTCTACTAGTGCCATGAATATTGAAGAGATTGGTTTCATATTATGTGTGTATTCTAGAATTAAAGACAGTATGTCAAAATACTAGTAACCAATATCAAATGTAAAAGTCACTTATTAATTCATTTCCGAGCAAAAATACTTCCGTATTTATTCTAACAATATCACCTCCAATGACTTTTGAGAATGAATTGGATTTTGAATATTTGTGATTAATGAAAAGAATTAATCAGACATCACTAGTCTCCCACCAAACGCAGTGAAGACCGAGCATGCGAAGATGATGCTGGTACAAACACTATAGAGGTGTCATATCAGAGCTCCGGTATGGGAGTTTTTGACATGCTATTTTGAATTTCTTAATACTCACAGCTCACAGAATATTTACTTGATCTTGTTTATATTTTTAAAACTTCCTAAAGATACTCTTGGGCTACTTCTTCGTTGGTTTTCAGTGAATTTGCTTCATCAGTTGTCGAGATAATACTCTTCAAAAAGTGGCTCATTTTTTTTCATGAATGTGATGAGATTTCTTTTATCGTAACGCATCTCCTCAAATTAAATAAATGCAAACACCTCAATGTGAACACCTGCCAACACAAACACTTTTGGCCTGTCCCAGTGGTGTTCAGATTAGATAGGCTTTACAAAATCCACATGGATGTTCTTATTTATGAAATTTGTGTTCTTATTTATTTCTCAAATGAAAATATAGATTCTTTGACAAAATGATGTTCTTTTTTCAGAAAATTCAAGGCCAAGAAAACGACAGCTCTAGTTCTGATGATGAACCAACAGTTGCCATAGAAACTACCACAGTTACAAATACAACAGAATCACATAGTAAAGACTTTAAACAGACATCAACTTCAAAAAGCTAGCATACTTTGTTCATATTGATTTTAATAATCGGTTTTAAAATGGCTAAGGAGTCAGCCTTGTCAGACTGTATTTCTGTTTGTTAAACTAATCTCCAACAGCGAGTTGATATTGAAAATATTGATACTGGCAATATTTGTGATTTTATGTACAGTACATGTACAGTATATTGATACTGTAAATCTATTAAGAATATAAGCAACCCGAGTGTATAAATAATTTAAACATGTCATATTTTTATCACATCCAACTTTTTGTTGGACAATGTTCCACAGTCAGCATATGTAACAAATAGCAGGTGGTGATATTTTGCATGTTAATGCCTTTGACAGTTTCTTGAAAGCTACAGAGATGAGACATTTAATTAGATTGGCAGGGAGCAGAAATGTGAAGTCACCACTAAGATTGAAATGATATCAGAATCTTGTTACATGTGCACTATCAAAGGATAATCTGGATTGTCGTTTTACTTTATCAGATTTTTATCACAGTAAAAAAAACTGCCTTTTACGTCATTATGCATTTATGTTTTTCCCAGTTCATGAAAACTTAATACAAGGCATTAACATGGAAAATGTCACCACCTGCCAATTGTTACAGATGCCAACCAGTCACAAAATAGAGACCATAACAATGTCAACTTTTTTTTTGTGGTGACATAAAAACACTACCAAAATACTGAGGTTAAATGGCATCAAAATAACCCTTGCTCGTAAAAGTATAGGACATATTGTTGACGGCACTTTTCACTAGCCTAGAAAATAACAAATCACATTAAATAATTTTTTGTTTCATTTATTCCTCATTACCATCAAAAGGCCATTGCAACATATTACATGATTACATACATTAAACATACATTGACTTCATCGCTATCATCATAAAGAAAGCAAGTTACAACAAAACCCGAAACATGCTATAACAAGAACATACAGGCTGATCATTTAAAAATTTATAGCTCTGATGCTGAAATTGTTATTGCTCACTGAACTGAAAAGCCTCGAGAAAATTCTCAATCCACCAAACAGGCCCTAGAGGTTACCCATGTTTAGCATCACAGAGAGGCTGTTAAGTGACTGGTGTCGCTCTAACAATACAATAGATGATAAAACACTCACTGACGTAGATACAAAGTGGCTCAATTCTTCGAATTAACTATAGCGAGTACTTTAGCATCCACCCAGCCATCCGACTAAATCATGGGGATTCATAAATCCTTCACTCTTTGTTGTGATCAAACTTCCGTCACAACAGCCTTTGATATCAAAATCCAATGACTTTCATACAAAAAATACTTTTACCCAATGTACATACATTAATACCAACACTAAAACATGAATTCAACTACTTGAAAAATGACAATGATTCTCGTAAAATGATGTAAACATCTCAACTCATCTGACTTCATGGTTTTTTACTATTGCCCAAATCATACACATTTTGCAAGAAAAGCGCAATTCAAAAGCTTAACACTATATGACATATTATAGATAATACAGAAAGGAATGATAATGCTATATGGATTTAATGATATCTTCTCAAGTCCCATATTATTTCATGAGAGTAAAAGTAGAAAGCTCCAAGATACTTGAACAGTTTAATATGGCAGATAAGAGTATTAATCAAAGTGAACTAAATCTAGATAAACTAATAGACAGTAGAAAAAAGAGATCTTATAACTACAGCTATGGTTTAACTATCTATATTGCAGTATATATGAAAAGACACACTAGGGCTTCATAATGCTATCTCCTCAATGGTTTGTTGCCACTTGTATCCTTTCATATATATAGTCCGTCTATTTTCATATATCCGAGATCTTTCCATCCCACTCTGTTAGAACACTGTGTGTGGCTTGTTACCAAAGCTCCCCATCTTTTTCTTTAGCAGGGACCTCAATGACTCTTGGTTTGTCGATAATTCTGGCTGACCGGGTGCCTTTCTCGACGATACCTATAATCCAGGCTTGGTAGCCTTCTGTCTTCTCAATGTCTTTACAATATGCTGCAGCTTGTTCACGGGGTAGGGCTATTAGTAAACCACCTGGAGAAACAAGCAAGACAATTTACATTTACCTGGGGAAACATTGTCAAAGTTGACACCACTGCATGATACTAGTGAGTTCAATATGTTAGCACAACACATATGCTATTAAGATTGATTTCCATAAATGAATGCATTACATTTTTCAAGTAAAATATTTTACACATGTTCTTTTTCAATTTCTAAAAATTATTTCCTAAACATTCAAAAAAATATAATAATGTTATTTTGTTCACATGTAGTTTGATAACATTGTTCTGCTATTTTGTTTGTATTAACTACAGAGTGGGCCAAAAATACATATTCAACTAACCTGATGTCTCTGCTGACTGACCCTGTAGAAGCCCAAACATGTTTCCACATGCCTTACTCACAGCAGCCATCTTAGCAATCACTGGCAAGTTGTGGATCACAAAACCAACCTAGAACAGGGGTATAGCACAATTAACACAAACATAGATTCAAAGGCAGGGAATGAATGAAGGCTTTCAGAGGGAAAATATATTTTTCATCCCAAGGTTATTTGAAATTTTCTCAATTTCAGGCAATTGATTGAATACACAACTTGGAAATAATATTTTGTCTCATTTTGGCTTTGTTTTAATGTATCACATTCAGCAAATTCATTATGATATTTTCCTAAAGCGATTTTTCAGGTGGGTGCAAGCCTAATTCCAAAATCTCATGTGAATGCATCACTTATCAATTGCATGGAGATCTCTAGTTTATTAGTGTGTGTGATAGATTCACTTTATGTATACCTATTCTATTCCAAGATTTTTAGGTTAGTACTTTAACATTCTATCATCTCAGTGATCTCCCCATGTCACTTTTACCGCCCCCCCCCCCCTCCTTACTTGACACCAAAAGCCCTTCAGTTGGCACCCTGTATTTCAACTTCTGATTTGAAAAATGAGTGAAGTAAGCACTTACATGAAGATATTGTGAGCATAGCGAGTGCTGATTTTTTCAGTTTTGAAAACTTGCACCGAGTTGAAAAATACTTTTGGGGAGAACACTGCATCTTACCTCATTTTTCTGTATGCGTGCCAAGTTGTTAGCATGCCCCAAAAGACCAAAACCTGTAACATCAGTTGCTCCATGGGCGTTGTACTTATGCATCAAACGAGAAGCTAACAAAAAAAAATCAATATTTAATATTACTATACAACCCTCTAGGCATGGCAAGCCACATCAAGTATATAGACAAACTAACATCTACATGTAAACCTAGTTTATTTTCTATGGGAAATATTTTTTCACATACCAAGGCACTAACTAACTTATTTGAAGCTACTGACCTGTTCTGTTTAATCTTGCCATACTGAACATGGCTCTCTGGTATGCTTTTCTCACATCCTCCTCGCTGACCACCAATTTGATTCTGTTCCATCTGTCTGGCTGATCCAACCACTGGTAGGCATTCACTGCCACTTGGGTTCCCAGAGGTTTAGTTAAAACCAATACATCACCAACAACAGCATTATCTGGCCTACAAACATGAATGGGTTATTAGAATGCATGGTGGCTTTTACCCCAGTACAGCCCCACAAAAGCAGCATAATTTGCACTTTGACAATATTTATACATTTTAGGTACATGTATGTCTACCTACAGTACCTAGTGTTCATGTCTCAAAATGTTAACAAAATTTCATGTTCACATACCAATAACTCTAAATGTGGCGAAGAACACTACTCTAGTTATATTTTCTTTGGATTAACAGGTTAAAGTCAAATTGGTTCATCAGTTGAATGGACATGTCAATGATACTGTGATATTGTAGCATATAACTTACATGATGAACTCGTTTGGCTGACAGACGGTTGTTGCTACACCTCCTATGGTCATCCAAGGGTTGAGAACAGTCTGACCACCATTCACACTGGTCCCAGCCTCATCAGCTTGGTCCTACAATCAAATCGGCATCAGTTACCATCTTGCTATTTCAGAATTTTATTAAAATTAACTCTACTAGAAAAACAGCGATGGAGTTTTACAAAACAAACATGTTTTCTCAAATATTCTCTTTATACTAGTAACCAGGGACAAAGATACAAAGTTTGTGTTTATATCTTGGCATACAAGCATTACATAAAGGGGTGCTCTAATAAATAAGAATGCCAATAGAGCATTTCCAAACTCATAATCAAGTGCAGGTTAAAATAGCAAAAATGAAATGGCAAAAATCATGCCTTTCCTTTCTCAGGAATTCCAGCGGAGAACTCCTCCCTACCTTCATCCCAAGTACAGATGCCACAGATATTAGCTAAAAGTAACAAAGGCGAAGCTATCTTTTAACAAGCGAAGTCAAATGAATATGAAGGGCAACCTACCTTGAATCCACGAAGCAGAAGAGGAACAACAACATCCCTTTCTTTGTCTGACATCTTAGTGCTAACACCCAACAGACAGAGCATGTTGTCACATTCCGTCACACCCATGGCGTACAAGTCACTTAGCACATTAGAACAGGCAATCTTACCCTGGAAAATATGAGTGACAAGGTGATTATTTTTCTATCAAAGACTTTCTAGATTAAGGTTTTATCAAAGGGCACCTTCTAATAGGCTCATATTCGGATAATCTTTATATTCGTTTAAGGTGGGTTTCAAAATTAGGTCTTTTTACAATATATCCAATGTATCAAGGATGAGTATAGCCTTTATTATACAAGGCATTAACATGAAAAATGTCACCACCCACCATCTGGAATCATTATAGACCCTGAATTCCGGATGCCAACCACCGTTACAAAAAAGTTGGAGACCATAACAATATGTCATCACTTTTGGTGGATGCATAAGAAAAGTATAACTGAATATGAATCAATAGAATTAGTTCATCATGAAATCATAGTGTGAGTAACTTTTTAATTTCTTACAAGTCTTAATGAGTAGTTAATCAGGCAGTCTAAGAGATCGAAGAATTTTTAACATGTAAGTCCAGAGAACTTACCATCATGTATGGATCATCAACAAGAGGGTAGAAAAAGTCTGTTGTTTGCACGAGGGACAGTCCACCATGGCGCAAAGGGGTGACGCAAGCATCCATCCCAATACCTTTCAAACAAAAACATATTTAGAATTGATTAGACCATCTAGATAGATTTTGATGTTTCATTATTGGATAAAAATGTCATACAGTCACTAATATTGTTTTCCCAATATATAGATGGGATTGAAGATGAACAATGTGGTCAAACTATTTATTATTTACTTACATCGATAAGTTATTTCCCTAAATAAGTTGTTTTTTAACTTTACATCATTATGTTGCTAAATCCAGTCAAGGGGTCATAATAAAGTAAGTTATAAAGTAATTGTTACTCCTCTTTCCTATAGGACAGTACACAAGTAATGAATTATTATTTTGTTGGGCGCAGAATAAAAAAATATGATAAGATCTAGAGTCCATTTCACTGCTTCATTTCATTAGTAGAACGGCAAAAATAAGAAATTGGGAGACCATTGTGCAATAATATATGGAAAAGTATATTCATAATGTACATGAATGACATTTGTATATTTCAGATTTTTTAGTTTTTTGTGCAATAAGCCTGTGCCGTCTTGTAATTTGAAGAATTTCAGCCATGTTAATCTTATTGAAAATAACATGGCAGAGAAGCATCCAAATATAAGAGGCCACACATTTCATAAGCTAAACTAGAGTCCATTTCACTGCTTCATTTCGTCAGTAGAACGGCAAAAATAAGAAATTGGGAGACCATTGTGCAATAATATATGGCAAAGTATATTCATAATGTACATGAATGACATTTGTATTGTATATTTCAGATTTTTTAGTTTTTTGTGCAATAAGCCTGTGCCGTCTTGTAATTTGAAGAATTTCAGCCATGTTAATCTTATTGAAAATAACATGGCAGAGAAACATCCAAATATAAGAGGCCACACACTTTATAAGCCAAACTAGAAGCAATCCAAGATATACTAATGTCATTCATGTACATTATGAATATACTTTTCCATATATTATTGCACAATGGTCTCCCAATTTCTTATTTTTGCCGTTCTACTGACGAAATGACGCAGTGAAATGGACTCTAGAAGCAATCCAAGATATACAAATGTCATTCATGTACAATAGGAATATATTTTTCTATATATTATTGCAAAATGATATTTTGATTTCTTATTTTTTAGCTTTTACTGACGAAGTTAAACAATGGACTCTAGCCTATTTGTAAAGATATGATCGAAAATGAATCTTGATCAAAGTTCATTCAAACATATATTATAACATGTAAATCAATATGGACGATTTTATCTTTTCTGTGTAAGCTAGCATTGTTCCATGCATGACTGTATCAGAGCCTCAAAGATTCAAGTGAAGAGACCACGTGCTGGTGTTTACATTCCTTGACACAGTGTCAGTTCAAAGGTCATCTAGATCACGTGGCACGAAGTCAGCCATCTTTGTTTAAAGAGCCCTGTAAGGGTTTTTCTAGGGACCATAAAAACCTGCTAAGACGTAAAAATGTATCTAAAATATTACTGCAATTCAAACTAAAATATACAATTACAAAGTGTACAGAAATTTAAGGCTTGTTGTTCCCTAAATAGTGAAAAATCACGAGTCGAAAATGGGAGTCGGTGGGTCTAAAGTGCATGTGTGCCTCACATTTTCGGACTCATGTTTGTAAACTTACCAATGCGCGGCACGGCGGCGACATAGCTAAAATGCGACTGTTCGACCTCTTGTGCACTTACGTCAGTTTGCAGTCCCTCAAGAAGTTTGAGCAGAACTTCTTGTGGGACCTTACACCCTCATCCTTTTAGATCAGCAAACTTAGTGAGTCTGAAATTGGGATCCAGCTCATGAGCAACTGGGTCGAACGGTCGTCGCAAAGCAGACGGGTCAGACGCCATGTCAAACACTTTCTTTACCCCTCAATCGAAAGATAACCCTGTCTATTCGATCTCTGCAGTGTTGTCGGTGTCGTTTTCCGATCCAGATGCCGGTAAACTGCACAATATTGCACCGGTTCCTGCCTCGTGGGAAACAAATATGGCAGCCCTCCCTTCTTTGTCCGCGAACCACGCTAACCCAGACAAAGTGCCCGGATGTCCTATACCTGCAATGTTAAATTTCCATACGCTAATGACGTCAATTTGGAGCAGGGAGCATTAAGTAAAACGTTACCTCGGAGGTAAACAGTGCGCAATTTATGTTTTACAACCCTGTGCCCTGCTACCTGTTTTTGAGTAAGACTGGTTTGTTTGCACTGCAGATGTAAGCCTATTGCCTATGTATAAGCGAATATAGAGATCAATGACATTTCTAAGGAAGACAGTTTCGGGGCTTATTACGAGGCTTGCTTATAGCCCCTATGCCTCCCTTACAGACCCCAGACCCATGGGCGTAGCTCAGGAGGGGGTGGGGTGCGATCAAGCCCAAATAAGCAAGCCCAAACATTTTTTAATATTTATTTTGAATTTTACAAAAATTGATGCAACTTCCTTCAAAACTGAGCTAGAAACATCAAATAAAAACCATTAAAGCTCCTTTCCTTTTGAGCTAGGAACTTCAAATAATAAGCACTTTTAATTTCCTATCTCGTGGTTCTATTTTTACCCCCCCCCCTGGCTACGCCTGTGAGACCTATGATGCAAGGAGCACGTTTACGTTTTTACTGGATGTGATGCTGATGTTAGTGTACAATGTTGTTACATTGTGCTAATTATATCCCCTCAGTGCTAGGCTGCTAGATGTAACACATGCATTGTGCTGGTTGTCTGTCTTTTTACGGATGTAACACATTGTGCTGGTTGTCTGTCTTTTTAGATGTAACACATTGTGCTGGTTGTCTGTCTTTTTAGATGTAACTCATTGTGCTGGTTGTCTGTCTTTTTAGATGTGACACAATGTGCTGGTTGTCTGTCTTTTTAGATGTAACACAATGTGCTGGTTGTCTGTCTTTTTAGATGTAACACAATGTGCTGGTTGTCTCTCTTTTTAGATGTAACACAATGTGCTGGTTGTCTCTCTTTTTAGATGTAACACAATGTGCTGGTTGTCTCTCTTTTTAGATGTAACACAATGTGCTGGTTGTCTCTCTTTTTAGATGTAACACAATGTGCTGGCTGTCTCTCTTTTTAGATGTAACACAATGTGCTGGTTGTCTCTCTTTTTAGATGTAACACAATGTGCTGGTTGTCTCTCTTTTTAGATGTGACACAATGTCCTGGTTGTCTCTCTTTTTAGATGTAACACAATTTATCACATGCTCTGTAAAATTCCAGTAATCTGATTGGTTGATTACCGTGTGAGTTTTCCCGTCTCACACGGCCGTCTCACACGTTACTAGAGGCAACCAGTGATGATAAATAGCAACGATGTGACGTCACTGATTATATCACTTCTAGCTAAGGAAAACAATATGACGTCATACTATTTCACAAACAAGTACGAATACAACGGTATGACGTCATATTGTTTCAAAGCGAAATCAAAAATTATAATAGTTACCAGAAGTACTCAACACAATCATAACTGACCAAATCAAAATGCTTCAAAATTCCTAGACATGTGATAAAATCGTCATCACACGTTTCAGCTTATGTGATACAGGAAATATTCCACTCGGGTAACAATGTATCACCACTCAAGCTTCGCTTTCGTGGATGATACAGTATTACCTTTCGTGGAATATTTCCTGTATCACATGCTGAAACGTGTGATAACTGATAGTGCTGGTTGTCTCTCTTTTTAGATGTAACACAATGTGCTGGTTGTCTCTCTTTTTAGATGTAACACAATGTGCTGGTTGTCTGTCTTACTAGATGTGACACAATCTCCTGGTTGTCTCTCTTTTTAGATGTAACACAATGTGCTGGTTGTCTCTCTTTTTAGATGTAACACAATGTGCTGGTTGTCTGTCTTACTAGATGTGACACAATGTCCTGGTTGTCTCTCTTTTTAGATGTGACACAATGTCCTGGTTGTCTCTCTTTTTAGATGTGACACAATGTCCTGGTTGTCTCTCTTTTTAGATGTAACACAATGTGCTGGTTGTCTCTCTTTTTAGATGTAACACAATGTGCTGGTTGTCTCTCTTTTTAGATGTAACACAATGTGCTGGTTGTCTCTCTTTTTAGATGTGACACAATGTCCTGGTTGTCTCTCTTTTTAGATGTAACACAATGTGCTGGTTGTCTCTCTTTTTAGATGTAACACAATGTGCTGGTTGTCTCTCTTTTTAGATGTAACACAATGTGCTGGTTGTCTGTCTTACTAGATGTGACACAATGTCCTGGTTGTCTCTCTTTTTAGATGTAACACAATGTGCTGGTTGTCTCTCTTTTTAGATGTAACACAATGTGCTGGTTGTCTCTCTTTTTAGATGTGACACAATGTGCTGGTTATCACTCTAAAGAGATGCTGCACAATGTGTTTGTTGTTGGTGTGGTAGTCATCAATCCTTACATGAGATATAACACAATATGCTGTTTGTCTTTTTAGATATGACATATGATGTGCTGGTTGTCTCTCTTACTAAGTGTAAAATAATGCGCTGGTTCGTTGTCTCTCTTTTAGTAACACAGCTAGTGCACGTGTTGTCTCTCTTACTTAATGTGACACAATGTGCTGATTGTCTCTCTTACTAGAATTAACATAATGTGCCGGTTGTCTCTCCTTTAAGATATGACACAATATGTGGTTGCCTCGCTTTTGGGGGGTTGTCTCTCTTTTAAGATATGACACAATATGTGGTTGCCTCGCTTTTGGGGGGTTGTCTCTCTTTTAAGATATGACACAATATGTGGTTGCCTCGCTTTTGGGGGGTTGTCTCTCTTTTAAGATATGACACAATATTTGGTTGTCTCTCTTTTTAGATGTGCTGGTTGCTTCTCTCATTAGATGTGACACGATGTGTTAAGTTGTCACTCTTACAGGATTTGACACAATTTGCTAGATGTGGCAAAGTGTACTGGTTGACACTCTCAAGAAAATTGATATGATGTATTGGTTGTCTCTCTCACTAGATGCGGCACAATGACTCTAAGTAGATGTGGCACAATTTACTGGTTGTCGTTCTTACGAGACACTTAATGTGCTGTGTGTCTTTCTTAATAGATGTGATATGATATGCTTGTTATCTCTCATAATGTGGTATGGCTCAAATTTTGCTGATAGCCGCATATGAGCCACAATTTGATGGTTGTCACTCTTGAGATTTGACACATCTATATTTTTACTATGTGTCACAATGTGATGGTTGTCACTCTTACGAGATGTGACACAATTTGCTGGTTGTCTCTCATACAAAATGTGTCACATTGTGCTAGCTGGTTGTCTGTTTTACTAAATACAACACAATGAGCTGGTTGTCTCTTGCACTTGCACATCTTGTGATGCAATTTGCTGGTTTTATTGTTCTTAGATGTGACACAATGTTCCAGTTTTCTGTCATTCTAACTAGATAAGATTTTAAAACATTACAAAATCTAAATTACATTGAAAATATGCACGTTGCTCACGCTGAAAGCCTGAAATTCAGCGATTTTTTATTCGCAGAGATGCGTGCAAAACGATAGAATGCACTTGGAGGATGAATCAAATAGCGCATGCGCGATATTCTTGGCGGAAGTAAAGTAAAAAAATATTCAGATTATATTTTTCCTTCGATTTTATTATATTTGGAGACAGTTGCTGATGAAAATAACACATGGATATTAATATTATATGTAGGAATACATTAGGAAGGATTTGAGTTGGTAGAAGTATACCAATAAAACACTAGATATCCGTGAAGAAGACAACGGAAATGGAGACCTCATCCTGTTTACAAATTTTGTTGTTTGGAATGGGAATCGCTGTTGTTGTCTCTTCAGATCATTCTTTTCAAGGTAATATTTTATTTTCAATTAGTCAATCTTGACAGAAGTGTCCTATGTATGTGAAAATGTCCTTAGATCTCGTGCATTATCAAATACACAGTTCTCTAAAATATAAGAGATGAAGCTTGGAAGCACCGACCTCTGCCAGATTACCTCTTCTTGGTGTCTAGGCTCAGTAAATATACTCGAGGACAAGAGACAAAATCTTCGGAAAATTTATATTTCTTTGATTTTGGAGTCTCCAATCACTAAAGCCACACATTCAAGAAAGTGTCTGTTGATAAAGCATAAAATAAGCAAGTGTTTATTTAATGGAGTGCTTTGGCTATTTCTGGTGTTCAAATGTTTATTCCCGAAGTAAAATGTATTTTCTGAGAATGTGACACACTCTGGATGACTTCACATCAGAGAATACTGAGAAACCCCATGACATTTTTTTAAAAACAACAGTTTGTTAGGCTATGAGATCCTTTACTTTCATTGGCTGTTTGTTGCGATGTGATGTAATTTAAGAGACGAACAACATCGGACACTGCCAGAAATTACCGAAGCACTCCATTATCTTTATGCTCTGAAAATTTAAAATAAATGTCCCGGGAAAATTCGATTTACAGCAATAATTGATATCATGCAACCATTCAAACTAATACATAAAGAAGAGATTACAGGGTATATATTGATCACTCAATGTTTGAGAGATGGAAAAGGTAAAGGTCAGTACGTCAGTAGGTCATTTATTTTTTCCCCAACTATAATAGTCTATAAGCGTGTGCTTAGAAAAATGTAAAAACTGAAAAAACTCATAGCTGGCTCACATTTATGAGGGTAAGCTCACTAGCTTGATGTTATTTGCCTATGTGTTAATTTTTTTTGTGTTTAGTTTGCTGTGTGTTACGCAATTGAACAGATTTTCTGTGTTGAAGAAGATGTGATAATTAAACCACAACTTGCAACTATAAGTGAACTGAATGGTGTTTTTGTTATATATTCTTGATTATCAGCTACTGGTTCGAGTTCTGATACCTGGACTGAATTTTGCCCTTTGAATTAGTGTCTTGGAATATCCAAAATAAAATATTTGACAAAAAACTTCTTGAAACATAAATTTAGATAATAGATGGGAAGTCCTGACTATAATACACAAATACTCGTACATAATTGGTTTTACAATTTAAGTCAAATCATTTACCACTGTTCAATACTTTTGGACCACAAATTGCATACTTAGTGGTAAGAATTGACTTTTCTATACTGAGTCTCAAATTGATCCTCTCTTGCAAATAATTTATATGGATCATTTAAGTATTTCAACATATTAAGGATATAATTACAAATGCCAGTGGTATTTTGTGGTATTCTGAATCTAATTGTCTTTCATATTTCTTGGTTAAACAAAAAAGTTCCTGTGAATTATACCACAATGATAATAAAAAAATTTATGAGGTGGGAGTGTTAACCGTAAATCCACAAGTTAATTTATTTTAAAGTTATATACCAGTTTTTGAAATTGAAATGAAATGATGCAAACTAACAGGAAAATGGTGCTAGAGTAAAACCACACATGAGAAATATATTTCAGAACATGGTAGATTTTATTTAATGTTAGAAAAAAGGCCCAAATCCTGTGATGTTTTGACTCATAAAAGTGTGGCTTTTGAGAGGAAGATATATGAATGTTATTTTGAGAGATTATACTTAGCCATAAGTGCTGAAGTCACCTTAAACATAAACATCCTTTATTGGATACACTGCGCAAGTAAACACAGTATGCTCTCTTAAACTGTTAAAATATAATGAGAGGGTAAACTTGAAGTGTGATCATGAAAAGCAAAATAATAAATCAACATGTTTTTTACATCAAATCAGCAGGTAAATACTTGATGTGTTGTTATTGCTAGCTCAAAACATGAACTTACACAGTATATTTATTTTATACACATTGATGATACATGCATTGAAGCTGGTTTAAAATATTTGATTATAAAATGATTTATCCAAGTTCTGCTTTTTATCTTAGTTTGCATTAGCAGGTCTTTTATTAAAAATTGATCATCATTTCTTTATATTGAAGCCCAAGAATTAATTCTTGGAACAATTGAATTAACATTGAATCAATTGAAGTTGACCTCTGCTAAAGAAAGCTCCTACAAATACATACCGACTTAAAAATACAGTTCATACTTTTTGTCCATATAAATATTTACTTTGCAAGGTTTCATGAAAATGAGATGTTTTTGTTTGCAATGATTATCTTCTCATATTGCAGTTCCGAGGTTATAGTCTTCATAAACTCTGTTTTTTCTCTCAAGGTGAAAATACTCCCCCCCTCCTGATCTTATGTTCATGAGTGTATAAAGACAAGTTATGAAATAATTGGAATGTAAGGATTTGCTATTGTTTTTGGGCAGCGACTTATTGCAAAATTGGATTCATTATTGTCAGTTTAATTTGGCGTTTTTTCCAGATCAATTACAATGCTCGCCAAATTAAAGACAAGTATAGTATACACAGGGGTTTCACTAGAATTTCTCACAACGGGCTAAATAAATGAAAACAACAAGCAAAATTAATAGAAATCATAAATTTAACATGGAAAATTGAAAAGTCCATAAAAACAACAGACGATTTTGTGAACAACCAGTGAAAATCGCCTGCTGCCTGCTGCTAATGAAACCCCTGATACAGTATACATACAACAAATTACAACATGTATTATTACATAAAGTTACACTGTCAAATTATAATTTATTTATAATTTCAGGGCTTGTGGACTCAAAACAAGATGGCACCTTCCTGGATCACTTCAACGACTATAAAGTCACAAACACTCACATCTATGACAGGCGCTATAAAAGAGACACTGCAACAAATAAACAGGTACGGAAAATTGATGGAATGTCTGATTCTATAATCTTCACATAATTTCACGTTCATGATCATGTTGATTTTCCAGCTTTGATGCAGATAAGATTTGAAAAATATGTCTTCCCAATTTGAATGTAAAATGAATATATAAGTTACTTATTATGGCACGAGATACATGATTAATTTTGTGGCAATGGATTAACTGTATATGGGGAAGACCAAAGTTGTCTCTGAATGTAGAGTAAAAAGCGAACTCTGGGAAAGAGTATTATTGTTATAGCACTCGATTCTGAGACTTTGATACTGTGTTTGTATGTCTATCCACTGGCCTGCTTGCCCTGCCATATGTTGGTAATATAGCTGTGGCTATGAGATTACTAGCAATTTACACCTTAGGGTCATTTGAGTCATGTTTCCTTGGATTAAATATCAAAGCATTGGATCATTTCATCGATCGAACAAGCTGTTGCCTCTACTGCTATGTCTGGGTAGTGTAGTTAGGGGGGGGAGGGAGGAAGGTACTGTGCAGTGAAGCACTAAAGTCAGTCATTAGTAGACAAATTATTCAATGATAATCATCAGGAATACATTACCAAAAGACTTTGTTAAGAATTTCTGTGTCTGCTGTTTTCTTGTTGTATTATGACATCATCATTTCTATGGTTGCAACAATTTAATCACAACAAAGATCAATCCAGTGACATACCCTGGTGCAGAAACAAACATCACTTACATCCTTTGAGTATTTGGTCAGGTGAACTTAATCACCAATATTCTGCTCAATTTATCCATGCTTAAGAAAATTGTAAGTACACAGGATAATAAAGTGGCTCTTCAGTTAGCTGTTCACAGATGATTTGAAGACAACCTTTATTAAGTTATTAAGCCCTCACACATTCCTCCAATATATCTTTGATCTAGCCCTTATCCAGTCGGAATATGTAGTCAGAGACCTAGCTTGAGATCATTAAGATCTTATGAAAACCAATCTGCAATAGTTAAGTGTTAATATGGTAGGCATATTCAGGTCACCACCCGTGATAATTCAGTTTCACTACAAAATAACTGAGGTGTAACTTATTAATTTGTGAATTTATCATGTATGGAATAAATATGTTTTTTATATATTATTATTTTATCATTAAAACCGAGGCGAATTAGACAGTGAATTAGTGAATATATTTAGACCTAGACGACATTAACCAGTAACTGTATGCTCTTTATAGGCGTCATTTTTCACTATGTGTTCCTCCAAAGATCTTCTCAAGAGCTCATCTGCCTTAATAGAAATCTATTCATCATTGTTTTTGAACCATTTGAGTCTATTACTTGATGCAATAGACTTACATTGGCCTTGTAATGTATCATCTAAAAGAACCACTAGAAAATGTCATGCTAATTAATAGGACAGACTCTGAATACAAAACACTGAATTCATCAATATATAATGCACCAGTGTGTCTATGTGGGCCTTGATATTCTCTTTATGCAGTTGATGGAGTAAAGCGAGCGCAATTATTTTGGCATTCAATTAGAAAGTGTGAAACTCGAGGGAAATGATGAAATATATATGTGTATGATCTATGATGTAGTTATTCAGTGAACTCAAGGCCTGGATAGAGAGTTAGGGACATTTGACTGAAGGAAAGTTATATGCTTCAGTATTTTTTTCTATGGCAAATTATACAACGTATTCACTGAAATTATAACTACCCCTATTATGTCACCAGACTCACCACCACAAGTGGCATATTTATATATTTATATGGTCTCCAACTTTATAGTGGATAGTTTTTGGTGGTTGGCATTTTGCATCTGTAACAAATGGCAAGTTGTGACATTTTGCATGTTAATGCCTTGTTTAATTTTAATATAGAAACACTTTGTCTTTACTTCCATTTTAGACCCCCCCCCATCTACTTCACCCCAGGTATTACTGGTGAATCCAGAGGCTAACAAGGGGCCACATTTCAAGTCAGAAAAAGATTTTTGGACCTATAAAACCAAAAATTTGGCCCAAATTTTGAAAAGTTTTGGCCCAATTTTTGATAATTTGATTTAAAATGAAAAATAAGACCCAAAAGGCCCATTATTCGAGGCCCTAAATATTTTCTGGCCCATCCTAGATGGGTCCACTAGTGGGTATATTAAAGTAGGGAGTCAATGGCTTGAAGCAAGACTAGGACTGTGACAATACTAAGCTTTGGGCTGTGACGGAGGGTACATTAGTTGGACTCAGACAGATTCTATTTTAAAAAAAGGCTGGCTCTTTCAATTTGAAAGATCAAGTACATTATTATGAGCAATGAGGAAAAGGATATAAACATTTCATATTCTTGAGTTTTCTTGAGCATTAATTAAGGGATATCCGATACTGAATTTGAATTTTACATGAGTGACAATATTCTGTTACAAAGTCTGAATTAATTAAGTTAATCTTTCATTATTCGATTTCCACTCCGTCTGGTTACACAGAAATCGTTTCTAATTTCAAGGCATAATTCAAATACACTTTCTTTGTAAAAATACAAATGTTATCAGAAATTACAGACTAGGAAGTGGTAGTGTTGAAACCATTTCAACATCTCCAACTTCAAAGCTGGTTATCATATACAAGTTGGCATATATGCCATTTTGGAGGGTAGCATGAACTTATTCCTGACTCTTAGGAATAGACCCTTGTATGTAAAGGCTCAATATATCACTTACCATTCATCATAGTCTAACTCACTTAACAATTACATGTCATTAATGCTGTGGTCACATCACATTTTCTCCAATTTTCAGTACCAGCACCTTGCCGATGAGTATTTTGTTCAAAATTACATTCAGTTTTGAACAAAATACTCATCAGCCGAGCGCTGGTGTTGACGATCGGAGCACATGTGACCGTGGTATTTAACTGTTGACCATGAGGTAATTTCTCTTTCACACTGAGCAGAGCATGACTTGTGGTTGGCAGAGACCAGAATATGCATTCCTTGAAATGAGGATGGTTTATTTTCGCCATAAAAATGTTTCTTATCATGACACATTGATTATAAAGGTAAATACTAGGAGGAATGTTGATTCAATGGATAATGGGAAATAAGTCTTTTTCTCCATTGATTTTAATGTAAACAGTGACCAGCTTCAACTGAAAATTGCTCCAGGAAATGGGAAACATTGGAATTGGGGAAACTCATGATATTTAAGAAACATGCACGTTTTTTTAGAGCTGTTGAATTTAGTATAAATGTAAATTTTATTTTTGAACATTTAGGGCATAAGTTCCATCTTGATTGATATTCTCGATCCCCCATATATATATTCCTCAGTAGCAAGGTTTTCATTAGCAGCAAGCAGTAGCCAATTTTCAACTTTAACCATAATATTCCTATTGTTTTGATGAAAGTTGCAACCATTTCCAAGTTAATATCATGTTTTCTAATAACATTGCCTGTTGTCAATTGTCAGTCATTCTAATGAAACCCATTTTGAGATAGTGCAGGCATTGGTTGGAATTGACAATGTAAGTACAGATAATGAATGCCATGACTGACTGAAAGTTTACTCATAAATTTTCTTGACACCTTCCAGATAATCCCTGTTAAAGATATCTTGTCATTAGGCTGATATATCATAATCAACCAAGTGTCAGGAAATATGACCCATGGATTGATAGTCTTGCTTCAAGACCCTGGACCCCCCTCCCCCTTATCAATTTTAACAATAGTTTGTACAGTAGATAAGGGGGGGGGCTCCAGAATCTTGAAGCAAGACTAATGGATTGACATGAGATTGGCACTCTTTGTCTCTCAGCATTTCGTTTACATATGTCCTCAGAGTAGTAGATAGATTGTGTCCCATTGAATTTTCTAGGTTTCACACTACTTTTCAATCTTGAGACTCGTTGACTTTGGGGCATATTTGTTATATTGGTAAAACTCTCAAATTAAGTATGAATTAAAAAAGTGTCACTTAGATCGAGCGACACTTGCAATTAAGTGCTGTACAGTAAAACCTGTATATCTGAACACCTGGCTAATCCGAACACCTTCCAATTTGAACACTCTTTTTCGGTCCCATTTTTTCCTCCCATTGACTCCCATGTTAAAAAAACCTTGAAATCTGAACACCTCCTAATTTGAACAGTGAACAACCAGATTTGAAAAAGTGACCTGTCTAATCTGAACATTTTTATCAGAAATCAAATGTCTGGACATTTCAATTATAGCCAAATATTGAGTCAATGTTATAGTTGTTATTTATCTTTACATATACAATGTAATCAAAGAACCAATATTGTCCTAACTAACATATTTAGTCTCAGTGACATCCCTAATTTGTGGAAAACAACAGGATGTTTTGGAAAGGTGTGAATACAGGAGTTAATTGGTTTATCCTTATTGTAAATTAACTGGATGTTTTTGATTTGGATTATGAATAGGTCTTGACTGTTTTATATCCCATGGGTCTGTTAAGATAGCTAGGATTCAATCAGCAAATGTTTTATAATCACAAGGACAACATAGACGACATTTGCAGACAAGATTTAGAAAAGAACTGAATGTTTTTGATTTGGATTAAGAGAAAGGTGAGAATCTGGGAGATAATTTGTTTATCCTTATTGTAAATTAACTGGATGTTTTTGATTTGGATTATGAACAGGTCTTAACTGTTTTATATCCCATGGGTCTGTTATGATAGCTAAGATTCAATCAGCAAATGTTTTATAATCACAAGGACAACACAGACGACATTTGCAGACAAGATTACATCACAAGAAAGAGAAAAAAATTCAACTTTGTAATATCCTATCACTAAAATGTCTCCTAAAAGGCATACATCTGACATCCTGAATGCCCTTGATATTTTGAAGGATTATACATCATCTCGAATGAACACTCATGAAAAATTATTTTTACTTGAAGAGGATATCTACTCAAATATTGCTAATGCTAAAAGTGCCAAGAAACAAACAACAATGAAGGACTTTTGCAAGCAAAAGTAAAGCAGTGCTATATTACCATAATATGGGATAAGTCATTTTAATTGATAAGCATAAGATTTCATACGAGACTATCATATACTTTTACAGTGTATTACAAAGTTTTTGCCAAAACATAAGAGTTATTTTTACTAAAACGATGATATTGTTCAAAATATAAATAAAACATAGCATATAGGCTATATGACTATTGTAGAATTAACTCATCAACAACATTTATTGTTTTCTGACTTAGTATTTAGTGTTCAATATAGTGGACTGAACAATGAAAATCCCCCTCCCCCCGACCAACAAAATCCTCGAAATTTGAACACCTGCCAATTTGAACGCTTTTGGCTGGTTCCGTGGGTGTTCGGATTAGACAGGTTTTACTGTATATTGAATTAAGTGCTGAATATGAATTTTATCAAGATAACTGATGGAAATGGTGATAGCACAAAATACTTCTGAGTGTCAAATAAAAAAAAGATATCTCTTAATTTGAATAATTTTTCACTTTTATTGTTTTGAAAATCCCAGTTCATATAATCATATGGCCTCAACTTTTGAGTTTTTGTGGTTTTCTGAATTGCCCGAGGTAGTATATGTTTTTATATATTTTAAGGACACTTATTGCACTGTTGATAAGGGATCTAATTGTCCTATATGGTAGCCATACCAATATACTGTAGACTACTATAGAGGTGCCAAATTACTTTTTTATTATCCCTTCCCCTTGAATATAATTACATTGCACAAAAAAGCTCACCCAAAGTGGTAACATGTTGACTATATGATATGTTAAGTAAATTTAAATTTATGAAGTTGTAACAAAGAAGAGCCCTTGTGTTTCAGAGCTCATTAAACTTGTTTGGTGGCTTGATTGATCGATTGCTATTTGCTATGTTGAAAATCGCGTCAAAACGAATTACCTTCTGTTTGAAGAGTGTCACTATATGATATTACTCAATCGAAAATCAAATGAACTAAAAATGTAATATCAAAAGTTGCAACTTTATAGAATAGAACACTTTGCATGTATTTTTAACCATGAGGTTCTCATGTATTTCTGTTGAATTCTTTTAATCAAGTTGCATACAAGTTAATGTATTGAAAAGTGCCACTCATAAATTGCAGTTTGACTTAATATAGGCTAACTGGGTATTGACTATTGATCACGAGAAAATGCAATCTTTACAGATGCAAGATTTGTCATGTTCATCTATAGAATAGGGGTTAAATTCAATTTTCAGCTCATTAGGCTAGGGTATAAATGAAATGTTTAGCATGCTTTATTGATTTAGGATGAAAATGTAAGTAATTACATTTGGGAGAGGGGGATAAGGGGCCACTTTCATTTATACTTAAAGTAACTCAATTTGAGAAGAACATGCCTATAGTTGAGGATACGATTTGTATCAGATATTTTGCCATCATACAGTTTTACAATAAAATATTTGAACATCTTATGAAGGTTATCATCACTAACATCTTTAGGGGAGGGGGTCAGCTCATTGTAATTACTTATGTTTTTATCATTATATGGTAATCAATATACAGTGAAACCTGTAAATTGGAACACTTCTAGAAGTGGAACACCTTTGTTCTGTGAAACACTTCAGAGTCCCTGACCAACTGACTTAATGTTAAATGAACCTCTATAAGTAGAACACCTTCTAAGTAGAACACTTTTGAGAGGAAACAAAAGTTTTCCACATAGACAGGTTTTAGTATACTAATATCATCCCATACACACTCATAACTAGATTATCTTATACAGGTAGATGATGGAAAGCTTTCTGGCATTTACATCATTTATAATTACGATACTTGAAATCTCATTTGTTATGCTCCAACTAATAACATGCGATAATATTCTCACATTTGATGATCATATTATATGTTGGATTATAACAGATAATATGCATCATGAGCAAGTTATTTATTGCTTAATATATGCATGCTGGTTTTAATTAATAATATATTTTGTTTGTTCTTTCAATTTATAAAATTATTTAAAAAATACAGTTTTTGATTTTTTGATGTGTTTTAGGAGCCCCATGCTGACAGCGTGAAGGTGGCACTGGCACTAAATGGCCGCAAAATAGTACTTTCACTGCATCAAAATAGGTGAGACCAAATAGCCCTTCAACCTTTATATTGCAATTAAAGCCCGAAAGAACCATAGGCCAAGAGAAAAATTGTATTTTTTAAAGCTCAATCGAGAAAGTTTCCCTTGGCCTATTGAAAGATTTTGTTCTGAAAGACAAATAGCACATCAATGAATTTTCCTTGCTTTATATCGTTACAAATTCCCTTGAATTTTAAATCTCTTGCTGTAGTGCTTTGGTTGTAGCTACATTGATTTATAAATGCTCCTCTACTTATCTTGTATCTATGATAAATAGATTGTACTTTGGGGAAATATGTTTGTGAACTATTGGATTTCGAATAACATTTAAAAAGAGAATCATTAGTTACTCAATGATGTTGTTCAGGAATAAGGGGATAATTCTCATCGAATAACATAATAACTGACAATCTAGATTTGTGGATGTTAGATTTCGCATGTTCAAATAGTTCAGGATTTTGATTTCAATCATCCTCCATCACAGGGCTTCAAAATACAAAGTATATTCTTTCTTTATACCCCCTGCGATAAGCAGTTAGCATTTCCCCGATTAAGAACTTGCAGTCTGATTGGCTGTCGCAACACTGTGACAGAAATCATGTATATAAGTCATGTATAATCATGTATAAGTCATGTATCATTGCGCATAATTGGATCATGTGATTCAGTTTAAATCAGACGCTTCCAAATTGGTTATAGCAGGGGGGAAGAAGGAGGTACGGATTCTGGATACCTGCTTAGGAGGATGGATTTCAATCTTATCAAGATATTCTGTGTAATTCCATGGAAATATTTTTAAAATTTATTTGACATGTAATTTTAGATTCTGCATCCCAATTACAGATTACTGCATCATTTGACTTTTTCATGTGACAGCAAAAAACACATTTGTTTGGTAATTGCAAATAATTTTTCATCATTGAGATACAGTTGCATAAACATCACAGGGCACTGTATCAAGTTATATGTGGCTGATGAATACTTAGGGTATGATATGGCACCTATGATACCCATGTTACAACAAGAGGGCAAATAAGAAAGTAAACATATGATTTATCCCAGTTTCCTTGCCGTCTTATTGTAACTTGCCCAATGCATCCAGCAGCCGGTGCCGCAAGTGGTACAACCCTTGTGAACGCTACATTCATACCTCCTAACATATGTAGAGTATAGACTTCTTCCGGACCATACCCCAAAGGTTCAGTTTGATTACCCTGATTCTTGACTTAACACTCTGATCACAGAGGTACAGAAAACCATGTCCAGAAATCATCCACAAGTTCATTCAATCTTCCCAAGAGAAGAGAAATAGTAGATTGAGAATCAAGCATGAAGTCAATATATCTAGAGGGGTGACCTTGGCCATGGTTTGATTCAGTCAAACATAATATTTTGTCCCTGGGGTGTCATTGGATCTCTATTAATCAAGTCTGAAACAAAAATTTCAATATTAATTCCTTTTTGTCTTATGTAGTAATACTGAGCAAGGTCAGTTTTATGGCTTAAATCAACATTTTGTACTTATATTTTTCAGAATGCTGCTAGGTCAGAACTATATTGAAAAATACTATACAGACAAGGGGCCTGTGATCCGAAAGAAATCAAATGTGAGTAATTCAGTGAAGTGGATTTAAAGGTCCCTTAAATATTTTGGATAATTTGATTTAATTTAAAGTTAACAATTGCTTTATACTTGTACAATGTACATGTATGAAACCCTTTGATTTGTATAAAGTAGTTCTATGATCAATCATTCATATGACAGTTTAATGCAAAGCCACAGAAAGCAATCAACTTGATATTTATCTCATAGAAATAAATGAAGCTGATTGGTCTCCTTAAAGAGGCTCTTTGTCATAGAATAGCACAATCAAGACCCCTCTGGACTTTTTTGCATATTGAGTTTCACCACATATTCTCCCATCTACTTACCAAAGACGAAGTCCCAAATCACCCTCTTTCAGTGTTAATTTTAATTTTTTAATTCAATCTGAAGTTGAATATACCGGGAAAGTTCTCCTGTTATCTGATTGGTCGTTGAATTTGTTTATCACAAACCTGATTGGCTGCCTGGTTCAAGGCACTTGTGGGCGCTTGTGTGACTCAATGGGGATTCCCCTCGCTAGCCGAGGAATTGATTGTGTTTAATTCTGGAGTTTGGTTGTTCTGTTCATTATTTCCGATATTTCAGCAATAATATACCCAAAAGTTATTCTCAAGATATATCCATGGTATGTGAGATATTATATGAGTATGAGTATGAGACTGTGTATCCATTGGATATTATTTCTCCAAAAAGATTTTATAGATTTTCATGTTCTGATCAAAGTAGTAACCCTTTAAGATTTTTCTCTGTCAATTACCCAAATGCGAGTAGGTAGTTACCAGTTTCACCACCAGGTGGCTGATTCGGGTCAATTAACATGGCAGGTATATAAGAAAGTTCCCTTAAACTTGAATATTATCAATTTCAGTGGCTCAATTTTCATAAAACCCTTATGTGTCTGATACTTATACTCATGAAAATATGTCCAGGAAAGCAAAATATTATCTGTCCACTAAAAGAAAAGATATTTCATTTTTTGTGATTTTATAGCATGGGGTCTATGGGGAATCTCCCCGAGCTAGAAGTCACATTTTAAAAGAAAATTAATTTTTCAAAGTTGATAAACACTTTTTAAAACCACATTATTTTCTAGATGTAATTTAACATGTAGATTTCAAATATAATATTACTTTGACTGAATTTTGAATTTTTAATGACGTAAATCAAGATTATTTCTACTCGCATCTGGGTTATTATGACTTCATTCATTTGGGCCAATATGTATCAACTAATTTCCTTTCTACCACTCTGTCAAGAGAATTTACAATAATATTATTAATGTTTTTCTTTAGAGCACGGAGAATGTTATAAAAGTATCCAGTATAAAACAACATGCTGATAAACCAAGCAAATAATGTTATATTCATTCAACTTGAAGAATAGTATTTTTTGATAAAACTGCTAAATGCCTATATGTGAGTCTTATTGATTCCAATTATTGAGAATATAAGAAACTGATTACATGCCATTTAAGTTAAACAATGATTACAGAGTATTACCATATTTTACAAGACCATTATAAGAACTACCATTTACCATTACTATCATTAAGATCTATCATTTTATCAATGGCCTTTTGTGTTTTACAAAGTTAAAAATGAAGAGAAATTATGATTCTACTTTGACCAGTATGCAGTATGTTTATGAAAACTATACTGGAACGAATCAAATTATAATCATGTATTCACTTGAGTTGGCTTATCTTTTTTCACAGGATGAAATCTTTTATTGTGCACTGAGGTCACAACATCTCCTCGTTTCGTTTCAATTTAAACAATATAAAATTTGGGAAAATTAATTTGTGATATCCTGTCAATAGTATTACATCATTAAGTCAAGGTTAGCTAATACCACACACCATTTATAAAACATGTTTCTTGTGAAACAGGAAGATGTTATGAGTATCATAATGACTCAGGCTTGAATCTCTTCCCTGAAGTTCATTATATGATGTAACTTTCACATATTAAAATGGTTGCACAGTAGTTTCTCTCTAATCTAAATGCCTCTGGGACTGACCAAAAGTGTTTGGATTAGTTGGTGTTCACATTTCAAGGTTTTATAAACATGTAAGTCAATGGGAGATAGTAATTTTGGATCTGAGAAAAAATATTCATATTGAGAGGTATTTGGATAAGAGAGGTGTTCTGATGTACAGGTTTCACTGTTTTTTCTCAAGATTAATTTAGAACTGGTTATTTTGGAATTAATTTTAGAATTGGTTATTTTGGAAAGATATAACTAAAGGCAATATGCCTACAGTAGTATTTTCTGTTTTAGAATACCAGCCATTGCTTCTACCATGGGGAGTTGGAGGGAGAATCTAAGTCTGATGTTGCAGTCAGTTTATGTGCAGGTCTCAGGTGAGTCTAATATTGCAATCAATATATGTATAGGTCTTTTATGACTCTAATGCTGCAATCGGTTGATAAACAGGTCTCATTTAAGTCTAATATTGCAATCAGTTTATATACAGGTATCATGTGAGTCTGACATTGCAACCAGTTTATTTCCATGCCTCAGGCAACTATCATGTAAGAGTTATATACAGGTCTCAATACTGAATACAGATTCCTAATTTACATATAGAGTATTCTTTCATCACCCCAGTGAATTTAAAATGAATGATCTTGATGTATATGCAGATTTCATTTGGACTGTTGTGTTATACATATTAATTGCTTTCGCAAATATATTCTAATTAATTCAAGGTCTACACATTCTTAACTTATTTTAAATGTTCAGAGATTATAGGTCGATATAAAGATGGCAGCAGAAGTAAAATTGTAATGTATTCTCCCTTGATTGTGCTGCCATCTGTATTCAAAATTATTTCGCCCAATGCAAATATCATTACATATTGCAGATTGTTTGTATGTTATTTTTCAGGGGTTACATGAGCATAGGAGAGACAGTTTACTACCTCCATCCATCTTTAGACAATCCCTCCTCTACTATAGTCATTCCTTCAGCAAATTATACTGGACCAGATTTCAAATGTGGTAAGTCATTTCAAAGTCTAGAATTTCATGTGTTTGATTACTGCATATCAAATTACTTATACTAGATTGTTGTGGACAGTTTGATTTTTATAGGATACTTTTTCAAATGTTTTCTATAAGATGGATTCACCTTTCATGCAATTTTATTAAAAACGAGCTACAAGTATTGCTTTCATATTGACTAGGGTTCAATGGAAGCTCCTACCAATAAGCACAAATAGTTGGGTCAGTTGAATTTTTTTTCATTTGAAATTAGTATTAGAACAGGTGATGGATAATTTTGATTTAACCACTAGGTCCTAAATCACTATATTGAAATCTGATCGTGATTTCACATATGCCTTGAAATATAAAGGCTAATAACTGTTTATTATTTATAGGAACAGATGATTCTCATCATTTCAACTCACATCACCATAGCAGCGGCCATCAGAGGGTAGGTCTAACATAATCATTTTTGCTGCTTGTTGGGCTTATATCAATTTATCATTCTTGCACAAGAGTGATTTCATTTTTAGGCAGGGAGCAAAACTTCAGTTTCATTTTACTAGCATAAAGACAGTGATAAACAATAAACTTTCAGTTTATGAAAATATGTCAAAACAAAGAAACATTGTCATTATTTATATTTATTGGCCAGAATGAACAGTGTTCATAAAAATAGCATCTTAACTGGATTGATGTCTTTTCAACCTGTATATAAATATTGTCTTGATGACCTTGGTTTTACTTTAGAAATTGTATGCTCTACCAGCGGCAAACAAAGTTTCACAGCAACATTGCTTTTCAATCTGAAATTAATTTCATTTATTTCAGTTGAAAAGACGTGTGAGAGGTCCATATGATACAAATGACAAGACTAGGATGATTGAGATGTACATTGTGAATGACTACAGACAGGTAAGATAAATTAAACGTACCTTGTTATGTCACCATGGTAATGATATGAAGGCATGTATGCTTGGATACGTTTTCACTCTTTAATGCTGTTTGTAACAAGTTCGTGACTTTTTGTCAAAATGCCTTGTTTCAAGTGCTATTTGTCTGTAAATGTACATGTTATACAGAACTAGATACTATGAGGCAACTTAGCTTTTTAAATCTTGTCCACTGTTGTAATCTGCAATTTGTTTAAACAATTTGGACAAATGTAGATGACACTGTTGTTAAGTAATTCAAGACCTTGATCAGCCATCTCGCTATTATATTTACTTGGTGTGACCTCACCAATAATGAAATAGCATCAAATCATATTTTACATTCCAAAACATTTTCTCATATCCTCACCAAGTAGGAGTGGTAGATGGGTGGTCATAACACCGATATCAGGTAACAATGGGGTTACTAGGGTAACCACATCAGGCAACAATGTGGTTGCTAGGAACATACCTTTAAAGTATTCTATTCATTTTTTCCAGTATGTTAGACATGACAAGAATGTGGATGTTATTCTTGAAAGAACGAAGGAGATCATCAACATAGTTACATCAGTGAGTATACAGATGTTATGCTAATAAAACGAAATGTACAGAGTGTCAAATAAATATCTTCTCCCCCTTAATTTCAAGAGAATGAGCTAGTCATATGAAACTGGCAATACTTTGTTTTCAGTACATGAGAAACTTAAGTAATAGAGGCAAAATGGTTTTGATGTTGTATGTTTAAATTATTATATTTATCCTAGGAATGTGTAATTATGGTCTTTTTACTGATCACAATAATCAACCCTTTATCCAGTGGCGGTGAATGGCAAAAATCAAATTCTTCCTGGTGCTTTTCACAAATATGCCAATTTTCATGATGCAACTTGCTGTTGTGGTGCTTTTGCCACATATTTCTTATACCAATGACAGTATGTATCCCATTGTTATGCTAAAGGGTGAGTGCTATACTCCATTTATTACTTCCTTTCCAGATGTACCGTCCACTGAACATTTACGTTGGAATAGTTGGGATTGAGATTTGGACTACTGGAGATAAGATAACGGTCACAGACAGTGCCGATGACACCCTAAACAATTTTGTGGAGTACAGGAAGACGGACATCAATCCATTTCACCCTAACGATAATGCCCAGATGTTAACGTAAGTTGCATTGCTTGTCATAATTCAGGAAATAATTTGCTTATAGTAAATATGATTAATTGAATATTGATTTAAAATTGAAAAAATTTACCAAAAATTCAATTGTTTTTATGCTTTATGCTTCAATGACAATATTGACAATTATGAGGATTATTGATGTTGTCTGTTCCTAGTTACATGTTAACAAAATTGTTTCCAAAAATTGCTACATGTATTAAACTAGAAAATAAGTTGTGTATCCAAAGTAACATTTATTTTCCTAAATATATTTTTCCACATTCCAGAGCAGAGACATTCAATGAAGGTGTCCTAGGAAAAGCTATAAAATACACAATGTGTAGTTATATGTACTCAGGAGGGGTTGTCACGGTGAGAGACGGTTGATATGGCGATGTTGTACCCTTTACATAAACAATAGGATTTTTTCCATTTTGCTCTCCAGTATATACTAACGTTCATTTTAGTCTTAACTTGCATTGTAGCATTTTAACTTGCATTGTATATTATTATTAATGTATGGTAGATGTCTAGGTGGTGCAGGATCAGTGTTCGTGGATATTTGAAAAATCTGTAAAAAAAATATTCAGCGACATTTTTAGAGATTAAGTCAATATTTCGATGTCATCCAAAATTGTAATTGATTACATTTCTGATTGACCCCCACACTACTTGTTCGCATGCTCGATCGTCACTGCGACTGTGGGAGCCGCGTGAAAGAAGATGCCCACACTTCTCAAAACATGTGTCATTGAATAGTTATTGATATATTTCAAAGTATGAGTAACCTCTTTAAAAATGAATATATGCAAACAAAATGGACATTTACCTCCTCCTCCTCAAATGTAAATAATTATGTTTGTTGATGTACATCAATATTTTGACTTGTCGCTAAACTATGGTTTACCACTGGGAATGAAGAACAATTTTCACATAATATGTGAATTCACATGGTTTTTCATATACTGTGGTGCAACTTTGACACTTGGCGCTAAACTATTTCTGATATGCAGTCAGAAATTGTTGAAATTGCTCCATTTATAGAAATTCTCCTTAGGAGGCATGAAACTCCAACTTAAACTTTCAGTTTCATTCCAGGAGACGAACAATGATGCATGCAGGTGTAGATAGCGTAGAAAAAGGGAACTAATATCATAGTATCTAATGTTACAGAAATTCAGCTTAAAGGGTTAAATCCAAAGATGGAAATACATATTTAGGAATACTATTTATTCCATAAATGGCAAATTTCTAGCTAGGGTATATCCCTTTAAACTGTGACCGATGATGTATACTTAGAGAAAATAACCACAGAATGAATATACAGGGTGGCCCCAAAAATTGTGACATTTTTCAATCCATTTCTATATGAATGATATTAAAATTTTGAATGTTTTTTAATTTCAAAAATAATCATTAAATATCATTTTATCACGATTGTGTTCCTATATACAGTTTGGTCTCAGTATAGCGTTAATATTGAATTAGACATAATCAATTGAAAAATGTTACATTTTTGACTCACCCTGTAGGTCTACATTAGTTAACTGATAGTTTATTGAATGCTGATTGCTTGGTTGCATGCTGATTCCAGAGGGAACCAATTTACTGATGGGGTGGTAGGAAAGGCCATGAAGACAACTATCTGTAGTTTCTCAAACTCTGCAGGTGTCAACATGGTAAAACATATTTTTATGTATAGTGTTGTGTACCTAAGGGACCATGTCATATGTTTCGCAATTAAATCTGCAGTTAGGAATGGATAGTGGTTATGGTTGAGAAAAAGTATGAAACTTTTGAGATGACTCATAATGCATGTTTACGTTAAAGTAAGACGTACAGTCCCTATAGGTATGACTTCTCCATTGGTTCAAATGGCCATGTGATAACCCAACATGGCCATGTGATAACCCAATTGGTTCAGTTTGCTTCGGGCTGTACTGTAGATTGATTTAATTGTATCATCATGTGTGTAGATATAGAACATGTCAATAACTACTAACACCAGATCCCCTACACAGAGCCAATGCACCATGTTTAGTTGTAACATTTAAAATGTCATGTTCTTAGATTCTGGAATAATATAGAAATTATCAGACACATGCTTCCAGTCTTCTTATTCCTGACCTTTTACAATTTCTCTACTTTGTAATTTAACAAAGTCAAAATGGAGGAATGGAACATTTGGAGAAATGTTATGCGTATAAATATGAATATGTCATAGTTCTCATTCTCCAAGTAAATGACAGTTTAAAAAACTGAGCACAACAAGTGTTTTGAAGTCAGGGGCTATTTTTCTGAATTTCAATCCTCCGTGGTTTACAAAGGAAGAGAACTAGAATCATTATTTGCTTGTATAAAAGATTTTTCCAATATTTTTCAATTAGTTTAAATAAATATTTAACGATTTGTTATTCTAAGAAATGTTCAAAACATAAAATATTTCATTTTTTATGATTTCCAAATTATCACCAAAGTACAAGATAATATTCAAATTTTCAACTTAATCCACAGAGTTAATCATAAAAAGTGATTTTGTAAGTAATGCTTCAAAGAAGACTAGAATTAAACAAATAACTATCCTACTTGATGCACATTTTCACAAATTTTAGGATAGTACAGACTTCATCCAGCACACGGCTACCACAGTAGCCCATGAACTTGGTCATAACTTGGGAATGGAGCATGATATAGAGTCTTGTAAATGCAAGGAAGATCGCTGCATCATGTCTGCTACTAGCGGGTAAGTGTATCAAACACTGCATGATTGGATAACATGTTAAAATGTAACACATTTTTGTAGAACATTTTGTTTCAAAGATTTTCAATAAAGTTATGTGTTATCTCCTTAAAGTAAGATTTTTACCGAGGGTATTACACGCATTATATATTGTTTTCAAGCCTATACTTTAATTTAAGTTTATAAATTAAGGGGGGGGGGGTTAAAACAAAAATCTCTTACAAATGAGTGAACTTTGCATCATCCTTTAACAGCACTGTAGACCCCTTGCGTCCATTCATCCATTTGTAAAGTGTACGCACAATATGGCTGCATATATGATTCTAGGAGGTTGAACCCTACTCTATGGTCAGACTGTAGCGTTGAATATCTTGAAGATACATTTGCCCAGGGTCTGGACCTGTGCCTTACCAATGTGCCTGAGAAACTCCTAGATGGGGCAGTGTGTGGCAATGGCTTCGTTGAACCTGGGGAAGAGTGTGACTGTGGATTAAAGAAGGTATGTACAGTAGTAAATGGCACTAACTCTGTACCATACATTGACATTTTAATGATACTTCAAGTACCTTTATTGTCACTTTTCCAAAGGGTGTCTGAACTCATTTGTTAGTTTTTAATGTTTTTTCGAGAATAGTTTATAGTTCATTTCAACAAAAGAAAATGTTTTGAATTTTGCAGATGTAACCAATAAGGGATTCATGTTTGAGTAGTAAAATTCATTTTGTGAGAGCCTATAATATCAATATTTTCCAAGCTCATTTTAACATAATGGCATCCTTCCTGCTGAGGGTGTGAAGGTGGATAACTGTAACCATTAATTTCTGTTAAGTTTCATGGTTCAGTTAATTCAACTTATTTCTGTCACACTATACAAGTGTACAGTCTCTAATCATGGCAAATTCATGACATTTATATAGAACCAACAATTTAATATAATTTTGCCGAGTTGAGTTCTTCAAAAAACTAATAAGAACAAGTTCTGTTTTAGGACTGTGACAATCCATGTTGTAATGCAACCACATGTCGCCTCCACAGCAATGCCACATGTGCAACTGGACCATGTTGTAATCTCAAAACTTGCCAGGTAGGATCAGGCTACATTTATTTCTTTTGTGTTTCCCAATAATATGTTTATAACTCAGTTATGATTCACTGCCTTTTGCTATAGCCAGTATACTGTGAGTGTACTTCATCCAGTTATACCAGGATTTGATATTGAACAAATATTTCACTCTCGACTGAGGTGAATACCTGTGTATCTTTCACAAGTGATTATATTCTACGATTATTATATTGAAGAGAAAAATTGGATTATATTTTGAGAAATTAATGAATTCAAACAAAAATATACTCATAAAACTTTGTAAATTTTTAATCGAGGCTGGGCAAAAAAATGTTCTTACATGTATATAAATGTTATTTTAATGTTTGTTACTGTATTAGTTAAGTTTGTCTTTTGTACTCTTATACCCTACAAGGGGTGAATTGAGAAATCAATAAATAAAAATAAAAAATATTCCTCAAAATGTGTAAAATGTCTTTCCAGTTAAAACCAGCAGCAACCCTATGTAGAAAGGCCAAGGGTCCATGTGACCTTGCTGAACATTGCTGGGGAAACTCAGAATTTTGCCCAGATGATGTCTTCAAACAGGATGGCTCTAAGTGCAAAGATGAGGTATTCCTGCTGAATATTTAGTACTACAGTTTGACCTGAAAAAAGGAAATTATAAATTTCTATTTTATTATGCCTGAGCATTTTAATGGAGTATGGGATTCAAAGTGTATTGAACTTTATTCACCTTTCCCCAAAGTCCAAAGTGTACTCATTTGACCGCTGCGCTGATTGGTCGATGAAAATCAATGACGTCAAAGCAGGGCACATTTCGCGCCAAAACTCCAATTACTATTAGATCGCCGAATGAGTAAAATAGATCTCATTATAAAATGATACCAAAACTAGGTGAAATATATTTTTCTGACCATTTTATCTAAAGCTGTGTCTTAAATACACCATCTGGAAAATCAAACCATAGAAATAATTGTGATACGAGTGCTCATCTTTTAACAAAGTGAATCCAACTACGCAAACCAAAGATTGACAATCATTCAAACAATAAGACTGTATGGATTAGGAATATACATTTTTCATGATTATTCAATTAAATAGTTCATTATGTTTCCAATAAAAAATATATGAAGAACAGTTTTAAATGTCAGAGTACAATTTTTCTCATCGGATTGCCCAAATAATTTGCGATTGGTCATGTATTTTTGCAATTTATATATTGAGGTAACTAATATTCATCATACTGTAGTAGTTTGCATTTTAATTGCAATTCAAAGTTTAAGGGGGGGGGGGGTGAGCGGAAGGAGCGGCTGCTCCCCCTCCACCTGGCCAGAAATTCTTTCAAAATCATGCAGTGTTTCATCATTCTGAGCACTTTTCGTATGATTTTTTGCCAAAACTGTCAAAAAGATCCCCCTTGGTAAAACCGCTCCCCCAGGTAAATCCTGACTACGGGCTTGAATTGCCGGAGTTTCTCTCTTGTAGGTCTACGTCCAAAAATATCCTGAAAGTTCTCTAAAAAGATCGATATTTATAAGACCGCCCATGGGCTTTTCAAGAGATAGTCTTCAAGACGATCGTGGGTAAAACAAGCAACTCTGGTACATTGTCTCAAAGCATACGTTCAATGAAATTAGTCATCACTCAGACATAGTCTTTGGCAGACCTAAAAGTAACATTGTCATGTGGTATAATAGGTGGCTGAACCATGGGCTTTAAATTAGAGTTGAAAGCCCATGGCTGAACGTAAGTGAAAATAACGCACCGTTGGCCCGGCCCAGATTTGAGAGTCGAATACTTTTTCTTCAAGGTTAAGCCGTATCCCCTTCCTCAACCCATGAGAAAATATTACATGACCTTAAGATTACCATGGGATGTTGACATTTTGACAGTCAAGAACTAAACATGGGGTTTTGTACAGTCGGCGTAATTTGAAAATGTACAGGAAACATTGGACTCTTCACATTAATATTTCTCTATTAATTTGATTCTCCAGAACAATATAAAGAAGGGGGCATATAGACGTGAGTGTTATTAATTAAATTCCATGACATTTATCATAAATATTATTACTACTCAACATAATTTGACAATAAAATTAACCCGTTTCGGTCACGATTCACATTGACTTCTAATGTGTTAAGATTTTCCCGCGAAAATCTGCCCTACTCTGACGTCAGAGATTTCAGATTTGCTAATTATAATATTCATGAGCTGACTTTGGGGAAAGGTGAATAGTTGTACATTTATCTAAATGTATCATGCAAGTTATTCTCTATATTTGTATAGGATACACCCTCAAAATTAAGTGTTTTGACCAATTATGGGGTCTTGGGCTTGCCTGTCTTCAAAATTTCAGATTTGTTGATGCTATGAATGCAATTTCAGCATCCTTTGGCTTATATGTGTCTCTGTGCATTTTGGGCTTAAAAGTAAATATGCCCATGAACAAACATAGCCAAATATGTATATTTGCAAAGGTATGCATAATTGATATGAAGAATATACTGCAAATTGTAGGCATATTGTTACCAAGGCCAATGCCAGACTAGAGAAGATCAGTGCAAACTGCTATGGGGGAACACAGGACGAGTGGCAAACTCATTGTGTTACACTTACTATAATGTCAAAGGCTCACGCAATGGGAACTGTGGGTTCAACTGGACCAGATCCTTATATAAACCGTGCCTTCGCAAGTAAGTTGAGCATTATTTTTGCAGTTTAAAATTTTATATTGCAATTTAAGTTTTACAGTACGTGCAATTTGAGGCATTAACCTCACCTGGCTTATATGCCTCTTAACCAAAGTTTAATGTAAAATTTTACATTGTGCATACTACAATTCAAATTTTAGTCATAATTGACAATATTTATGGGAAACTGGCCCCTGTTGTTGTTTTTGCTTGTGTTGTGTGTTATATGTATGAGAACTTCCAGGGACGTCCACTGCGGATCTTTACATTGTGAACACCAGAATGAGAAGCTGATGTTTTGGACTGCGTCACTCACTGCACAACAAGGGCTCTTTACTGACAACACTCTAGCACATGCTGGAGTTAAACATTCCTGCTATTCAGTGAACCTTGACACTGGGTTACAGAGCCCTGATTATGGGCTTGTCCAAAATGGTGCAAAATGTGGCCCTGCCCAGGTATAACACCTGCCTGTTGAGTTGGAATGATCTGCTGATGAAATGTATCATGAGAGTGCTTTGTTGACTGACCAGCCATTGTTATATACCTGTAGTTAAATGCTCTAATATGATGAATACAGTAAAACCTATGTAGGTGGAACACCCTTTGTATTGGCTAAAATTCTTTCTCATAGACATGTTTCTTACAGAGGTTTCATTCACATGTATTCCAATGGGATTTGATTCTTTGGAAAACTGTTCCATACAGAATAGATAGATGTTCCATCAGGGAGGTTCTACTGTATAATAATGCTGTTTTATTCATTTTGTATTTTCCCCACCCTTGCATGTGTTTTTCAGCCCAGAAAAGTACAGTAAAATCTGTCTAAAGTGAACATAGCTGAAAGTGTTAACGTTAAGAGGTGTTCATACTAAATGGAAGCCAATGGAACATCAACAAATGATGTTTTCAGATTTTGAGGTGTTGAATTTAACATGGTGTTCACTTAAACAGGTTTTACTGTATTGTAATGCTTCATTTCATGCCATGCTTATACTAATCTGATTTTTATAGGTACTCTGCAATATGTTTTTTCTCCATTGTTTACAAAGGGGCATGCATTGTCTTACAAGATTTTCTTTATTGAATAGAGTTGTGACCACACCAAAAATCAAAACAGTTCCAGCTGTGGAAAAATGAAATTAACCCAAATAATGAAATTTTGACATATTGATTGTCTCACTTGAATGTAACAAAAAGTCAAGATTCTTCTCCAAAATTATAATTTACCCCATTTCCATACATCCCCCAAGCCAAGAAATTAACTGCTGAAATGTGAACACAATACCTAATTTAAAGAAAACACCAGCGCAAATAAATAGGATCATAAGACAATGCATACCCACCTTATGGCTTTGTTAATATAGAGTGTGAATTCACCAGACTCCAGTAGATATCATTATTATCCCCCAGTAGATATCACCGTTAATCCTAGCACCTTTTGAAACTCTAACATGTTACCATTGCAGGGATGTTTTTTGTGGTATGCTCCATTGTAATCATGAAAATGAAAAACTAATGTATTGGATGGAATCGCTATCTCAGCACATGGCCAACAGTGAGCTTAGTGCTAATGGGAAAGTTGTGGCCGTTTGCAAGGGTGCAGTTTTGGACACAGGGCTACAGTGGCCTGACCCTGGTATGGTACCCACAGGGGCAATGTGTGGAGACGATCAGGTATATACTGAAAGTAGATGCGTACAATGAGTATTTAGGCCATGGTCTCTATGGTATTTAGGTGTATAAAGCACTTTGGTAAAAATGATATATTGGTGTTTGCTAACCACATATACATCACAGGTATTTTTTCAATTTTTTGCATTAATATTTTCAATTTTTTCTTTTCTTGTTTTTTAATACCATAGTTGTCATCAATTTTATTGTTTATTTGGTTCATCTTTTTGGATGATATGACATCGTTATTTAATCCCTCAGGATAAATCCAATATTCAATCTGTCCCTTAAATATAATCTCTATTAACATTCAGTACAATTTTTTTGTTTAAATGTGTTTTTATGTCACCACCAAAAGTGGTGACATATTGTTATGGTCTCCGTTTTTTTATGTCACCACCAAAAGTGGTGACATATTGTTATGGTCTCCGTTTTTTTGCTACGGCGGTTGGTGGTTGGCGGTTGGCGGTTGGTGGTTGGAGGTTGGCGTCCGGCGTCTGTAACAATTTCTTACAACTTCCTATAACTTAACAAATACTGTTTAGACTGACTTCAATTTTTTTCTAAATCATCTACATGTTCTCAGAAATTCAAATCTGACTTTAGATTTGACATTTGACCTTCAATGACCTTCTCAAGGTCAAAAAAGGTCGAAAAGGTCTGTTTTCAACTTGCTTCAAATTGACTAAATTTTTTTTTCAAAATCATCTACGTGTTCTCAGAAATTCAAATCTGACTTAAAATTTGACCTTCTCAAGGTCAAAAAAGGTCAAAAAGGTCTGTTTTCAACTTGCTTCAAATTGACTAAAAAAAATTTTCAAAATCATCTACGTGTTCTCAGAAATTCAAATCTGACTTTAGATTTGACTTTAGATTTGACATTTGACCTTCAAATCTGACTTTAGATTTGACATTTGACCTTCAATGACCTTCTCAAGGTCAAAAAAGGTCTAAAAGGTCTGTTTTCAACTTGCTTCAAATTGATTTGCTTCAAATCTGACTTAAGATTTGACATTTGACCTTCTCGAGGTCAAAAAAGGTCAAAAAGGTCTGTTTTCAACTTGCTTCAAATTGACTAAAAAAATTTTCAAAATCATCTACGTGTTCTCAGAAATTCAAATCTGACTTTAGATTTGACTTAAGATTTGACATTTGACCTTCAATGACCTTCTCAAAGTCAAAAAAGGTCAAAAAGGTCTTTTTTCAACTTGCTTCAAATTGACTAAAAATTTTTTCAAAATCATCTACATGTTCTCAGAAATTCAAATCTGACTTTAGATTTGACATTTGACCTTCAATGACCTTCTCAAAGTCAAAAAAGGTCAAAAAGGTCTTTTTTCAACTTGCTTCAAATTGACTAAATTTTTTTTTCAAAATCATCTACATGTTCTCAGAAATTCAAATCTGACTTTAGATTTGACATTTGACCTTCAATGACCTTCTCAATGTCAAAAAGGGTCAAAAAGGTATTTTTTCATCTTGCTTCAAATTGACTAAATTTTTTTTTCAAAATCATCTACATGTTCTCAGAAATTCAAATATGACTTTAGATTTGACATTTGACCTTCAATGACCTTCTCAAGGTCAAAAAAGGTCAAAAAGGTCTTTTTCAACTTGCTTCAAATTGACTAATTTTTTTTCAAAATCATCTACATGTTCTCAGAAATTCAAATCTGACTTTAGATTTTACATTTGACCTTCAATGACCTTCTCAAGGTCAAAAAAGGTCAAAAAGATCTGTTTTCTACTTGCTTCAAATTGACTAAATTCTTTTTTCAAAATCATCTACATGTTCTCAAAAGTTCAAATTTGACTTTACAAGTTCTCAGAAGTTCAAATCTGACTTTAGATTTGACCTTTGACCTTCAATGACCTTCTCAAGGTCAAAAGGTATTTTCCAACTTGCTTTAAATTGACCAAATTGTTTTAGGTGGTGACATTTTGTCATGTTAATGCCTTGTTTGTGTATGAGGTCAACTTCAATGTAGATTTTACACAGCTTATATTTTTATGAGCATGCAATATTTATTTAATTATTTAAAGTTTAAGTGTTGCATGTTTGACTGATTTCTGCTTTCGTATTGATATATAACATACTTGCCAATCACATGCTTTTAGTTACAAATAGAGATATCAAAAATATCACCCGTTTCAAGTATATGTAAATGGTACAAAGATTCTTCTCGTGTCCCATTTCGTATTTATAACAAAATAAAATCTTGGAAATGGAATAAAATTAATTTCAAACAGATTTTGAGGATTTAAATCTCCACCTATTCAAAAATTAAGATCATCACCGAATAAGATTGAATGGTTAAAACTCTATTCTAACAGATGTTAAATCCTTTCTGATCTAGTACTACAAGTCAAGATCCTAAAATTCCTTATTTTTTCTATGAACCTTTAAAAATGAAATCTCCATTCCCGGTTTATCAAAAGTTTCTTTTAAACAGTGTATTTAAGCTATTTCCTTAATGAGTTTTTCCCTTTGTTTCAGATGTGCTACAAGCAACAATGCAGGAACATCTCAAGTCTGGGCTTCTCGTCATGTCCAAATGGTTGCCATGGCAATGGGGTAGGTATATCATGCAGTTGTCATAGAGACCTTGCACACATTGTAGTTTGCTCAATTAAGTTATGCCTACTATATAGGAGGTTCGGACAATTGTGAATATTTTGGGGTTCATAGCTTAAGTGACCTCTAGACCTCTAACTAAAGAATTATTTCAAACTAAACATGGAGTAAATACTAGGCTATAAATTGACTGGATTTGGGGTAATGAATTACCAAGGTAACATTGTGATGTTGCTTTGACCTATGATTACAGTGCTGTGTGCTCACTTTTTCAGGTGTGTAACAGCAAAGGAAATTGTCACTGTAACAGAGGTTATGCCCCACCTAACTGTAACACCCCAGGAAATGGAGGTAGTGTGGAAAGTGGACCCATAGAGCTAATGCCAGGTATGTTAGACTGGACGATGGAAAGTTGGCAAATCCCATTTAATAATTTTGTAATATTTCCAATATAACTTCGAGCCATTGTAAAATACAATGAGAATTGTATTCAATTAATTACTTTAATGATTTTTGTAGATGTAGTTTCCCATTGCAAAACATGCCTTGGACCTTCCTATTTTCATGCAAAATATTATCTTCTGCACTTTGGGAAAGTATTATAGTGTTGAAGTACTTGTATCTTTTCATGTTAAATTAAAATGTCACCTGACTTCCAAAAAATTTCAAAAATATTTCACACTTCAATTGGAAAGATCATGTATAGTTTATGATTTGAGCGTTTTTCACAAGACGGTAGTTTGAGTAGAGCAAAGGGGATGAGACATGCTTCCTTAACATACATTGATTGCCACACATTGTTACAATATAACTTGCTTTCCAGCTAATAATGGACTTGTAGCAGGACTCCTAGTGTTTTTCCTGCTGATTCTTCCACTACTTGCAATCATCGGTTTCTGCTCCTACAGACATAGGAACAAACTAAAGACAATCTGGACTGAGCATTCCAAGACGAAATACATGTAAGTATGCTACTGGTGATTCTCGTTGTCGTGTAAATATATGAATGCTACTTTATGTACAGTACTGCTATACTGTTTTGTGATTAGGAACTTACCTGTATATTTGAGGCTTCTAACAGATGTATCTTTATTTTTTATTAACTGACAAAAATATCCTCATTTGTGAGACTTATTCAGATGCTATTTTATTAACTGACAATAGTATCCTCATTTGTGAGGCTTATTCAGACGCTATTTTATTAACTGCCAAAAATATCCTCATTTGTGAGGCTTATTCGGATGCTATTTTATTAACTGAGAAAGAATATCCTCATTTGTGAGGCTTATTCAGATGCTATTTTATTAACTGACAAAAATATCCTCATTTGTGAGGCTTATTTGGATGCTATTTTATGCTTATTGATGAGAGATTTACAGCTGCTTTTTAACCAGTTTATGTAGGTCCATTTGTATATACATTGTCATGTGAAACATGTTCCCTTTTATGTTTCTTTAAGTAATGGCTGACATTGGAAGAATTAGTTTTGCTTATATAAAAGTGACTTATTTTGCTTTTAATGTTTACTAAACATCAATATTTTGTTATATTTTTCAGTACATCAGTTCAGTTTATTTGTACAAACCAGTTTTGTGCGGATTGCTTTTTATTACTAAATTCAGATGCATTTTAGGCATTTTTGAATGCATCCTTCAACTATGTCCTTGACATTGTGTGATGAATTGATGGAAGATTTTGTTCATATCAGCTTTCCGTTGGTACCCTTTTTACTTTACTATAATGCTTTTTTGTAGTGACAATACTCCACCAAACCAAACAGTTGCAGGGTATGTTAAAAAATTGAAAATCGGCCTCTAGTGCTTGCCATGCAGGAGTTCCCTTACCACACCTGAGTGTAGACTTAAGCTACACAAATCATATTCAATAGAGCTTGCTTTAAAGTTGCAGTTAAACAAAATCACTTGATTGAATCAATTGATTTCTTTGACTAACAAACTGATGATTTTGGCATGATTATTTAATCAATCAGCTAATATTAATCACTTAAACACTGTTCCTTATTATTGCATTTTGTTTGCGAAAGGATTTTGGGATGGGTTTATATTTAATGTACATGTTTGTTTGTCTGTTTATGTGTTTGAATCACAGATTGTGTGGGGATGAACAACCATTCACTTACATGACTTATCCTGCCATCTTTTATTTAGAAAATGTTAATCAGTGTGATTCGTGTTTTTCAAAGCTTTTCCAAGAGCTTTACATGTTGAAATTGTCTTGTCAACGGTGGTGCTAAACTTTATAGCTGAAATCTATATTTATATGATAAGTACATCTACTTTTCTATTTCAAAAGTAATTCTTGTAGGGGTAATAGGTTTACTTTTCATGGAAAAGAGGTCTTGCTATATAGATTGATGAATAGATTGCAGTGGTTGTTTTGGTTCTGACTAGCCTAGTGTATCTTTTCTTTATATCGAGAACTGACGAAGGTTACTTTATTGATCAAATATTTCTATTTGAGTTAATATAAAATTATATTTGCATGCAATTAGATCACTTTGTTGACATGCAGATTCTGGTTTGACCTTTAAATTGTAATCCTTAAAAGAGTTAATTGTTTTGATTACTTTTAACATTGTATCAATGGGATTAAGCCCAACCTTATTCAATACTTATTCAAAATCATTTTGATGTGAACACACATACACAACTGAAAATCAAAGTTTTCTGTAGATTAAAATGTCCTCTAATAAAAAATATAAGTCCTTAATAATCAAATAGCCAAATCTCCTGCAATCATTAATGAAAATCGGAATTTCAAAACTATCTAGCAAATCCCCTATTAAATAGCATGTCTACAATGCTGTTTAAGATCATGAGATCAAACAACCATTGAAGCCATTCCTCTATGAATACAGTTTACACTCTCAAACCCAAATATCACTCTTAAGACATCCATGACATCTGGTTGGTGCTTTTATAGTAAGTGTTTAAAGACAGCGTAAATTCTGAATGGCTTCATGTCAGTGAAGGAGAGACATATTCAATGTATGGATCTGATTCACTTACTGTATTATTGTACCAGTATGATACTCTTTGTTATGTTGATAAAAGTAATATACCATTTCAATGATGTATTCCAGGCCAGCGAAGACTACAGATATACCGATGAAGAAGCCTTCGATTAAACAAGATCCACCTAAACGAAAGCCCATAGTGCGTAACCCATCTAAAGTAGTAGAAATCTCAAAGCCAATCTTCGAAAGCAGTACAAATAAAAACCCGGCAAATACCTTACCCCAGGGAGTGTCTCCCCCAGAGGCTACAAATGCCCACAAGCCTTCCAGACCAGCTCCCCTACGTCCTAAGGATGGTCAGCCTTTCATCTCTAACCCGGTTCCAACTCCAGAGACTATACGTACAGTTAGTAGGCAGAATAGTACGGACACAAATAAGGTTCCTCCAAAAAGACCAGCCAGACCACCTAGTATAGATTCTGGAAATTATTATGAGAACACAAATGCTAAGAACACTAATGGTAATGTTAAAGCAGCTAATGAGCTTGAGAAAAGTGCTAGTTTCACTGACCCCAAGCCACCACAATTACCAATGAAGCCTAAACGAACTGCTAGCTTTCAACAACCCAAGCCTACCAGGCCACCCCCCTCTGCACCTGCAGGAAAGACAGAACCTAACATCGCTTCAAGACCAAAACCTAATTGGACAAAAACACAACCAGAAAGCTCAAATGAGCTTGATAACTCTAACAACAGTGCACCAGACAATGACACTAACGAGCCTAGGGCTTTAACTGTATCTGAGCTAAAAAACAAATTTAATCAGGATGGCGCTCTTGGTAACAGGACACCAGTTCAACGTAGTGTAACAGTTAAACCAGATATTAAACCCAAACCTAGGATGCCCTCTGTAAACAGGAGTGAATCATTTGCATAGTTTGTTGTGTTTAGCCCTTTGTAGCTTTTAGGAAGTGTTGTGGACTTCCACTCTTCCACTCGCAGTATGTGTTTTGCCCAATGCAAGCTATAGTGTATTTATAATATGAACATTTGACTATATAATCATGTACAAAATATTTAGTATTATTTTTATCGTGTACGATATGTAATTATATTTGTAAATATGTTAAAGTATGCATTATATATCTTCATTATCTGTATATACTTCTATTTTTAAACATTTCTGTAGGGGCTGGGTGATAATATGCAATTATTTTTTCGTGAAATTAAATTAACAGAGGTGTAGACCCCCTACCCATGTTTGTTAAAAATCCTATTGAATATTGTTACATTCTGACATTCACATATTTATATACTAGTATGTGTTTTCTATTCTGAAACTCAGATAATTATACCTTCTTACGTAGTCTCAGGCCACATCTGCTTTGCAAAGAATGTAACATCCCTTGCAAAGAATGTAACATGCCTTGCAAAGAATGTAACATGCCTTGCAAAGAATGTAACATACCTTGCAAAGAATGTAACATGCTTTTCAAAGATTGTAAAATACCTTGCAAAGAATGTAACATGCCTTGTAGAGAATGTAACATGCCTTGCAAAGAATGTAACATGCTTTTCAAAGATTGTAAAATACCTTGCAAAGAATGTAACATGCCTTGCAGAGAATGTAACATGCCTTACAAAGAATGTATCATGCCTTGCAGAGAATGTAACATCTATGTAATTAGTTTCACAAAAATAGTCACATTGGTATTTCACTCAGCCCCTAATACTTCACACATTCATTCTCATTTGCTTTTTGCAATGATTCTTCTCATCTCAAACATTGTCAAATGAGACTGCATTGCACCCAAACAATTAGTCATTTTTGATTATATATTGAGGTATTTATGTAGAATACTATAAATGAATGTATGTAGGACATTAATACATAGTTTAACATTGACTAATAATGTATGAGATTAGTTATACAGGGGGGCAACTCGAAATAGTAGTTGATCTACTAGACAAATAGTACTACGTACTCGATATTCTATAACACAAAGCATTACCTTCAAAGTGGTCACTGTTATCTCTTAGAGACATTAAATGCAGTGTAGAATAGGTGGCGCTGTCTACCATAGCACATTACGCAAAGCAGATACAAATTCAAGTACTGTACTCCCGGTAATTTTCGCGCATTGCTATATTTCGCGCTTTTCGCGAGTTTTGGAAAATTCACCTAATATAATAGCCACAAAATTCCAACACAGCGAAATATAATAGCATCAAATATTAGTAGGAGTACTGTACTCTATATTTGTTATTGTACATGTAGATATAGGATCCGAATATAACCCAAGAAAAATTATGATTATCACATTCAATATAATGCAAACTATGCCAATTCTTTAGGGACTGATTTTAGGTGATATGAAGGTGTTGAATTAGCCATGTTGATTCACTGAAGGGTGCTCAGCAAATCATGAATGTCTAATTTGTTTTGATGCATTTTCACTTTGATGCATAACTGTGAACATTTTGACTCCATCTCTTACATTGATGTGATTTTATTAAATATTTATGCATCAAGGATATCAGTGCTGCTATCATGGGACGAGAGTGATTGAATGATTGGATACACGGATATGAATCAAAATATTCAAGTGCCAAAAGATTTATTTGAGTCTTTAAATCTCAAAATTTTAGTTGTGCATTTTTGTTGCTTTTATGTTAAATTGTTTTTAACATGAAAATTCGCTTTACTTTCCATAGTGTATATGTTTGCTAAAAAGCCATATACCAGATATGTCCAGGTTTTTAAGTAAAGTAAAACATATGCTTATTGCCTTATTTAGGGACTGGGGTCCCCAAACATTTTACATAATTTTTCTACCCGATTGGTATGTTTTCTGAAATGTTAGGGGGTATCCTAGTTTTGCATGTCCCTACAACTCTTTCCCTGAATCCACCACTATTGACTGTATCAATTTGTACATAATTCACAATATTTTATTATTTTTATAGTTTCTATATGACTGACATTTAAAATACTCACCACGTATATGCTTTAGTATTTAAATCAAAACTTTAAATTTATTTTATTTTATTGTAAGCATATTTTATTTTATATGTAAAATATGGTATTTGTGAAACAACAAAATGTGTTCTATACTCATTATTTTAGAGGCATCCATTCTGGACTATTTGGAACTTTGGTATACCGAAAAAACAACTTATTTAATCACACAGCTCATATAAGCATGCATTGTTTCAAATGAAATTTATCAATTAATTATTTCTTATGTATAGCTGCCTTTCCGCAAATGCTTAGCATATTTTGTGTACAGTCACCACATGAAAATCATGAATCACCACATAAAAACTGCTGCCTCCAAAGATACATGTATATGCCTATAAGCTATATGACTTGTACTTAAATTATGGTCAAATGTGATATAGAATTTAATAATTCGCTGTATGGTAGATTGATAGAAGGTAGCTACTAGAAGTACAATAATTAGAGGTTATGTCACTATCGTGGTATATATGCCAGAGGTCTCAGTGACAGGTTTTACTGTGCACCCTCAGCTTAGAGTCATTCACAGCCAAGAGTGGATTAATTATTTGTACAATTAAACTATTATTTGTAAACCATTATGGCAGTTTCACTTGTTCAAGAAATGTATCCATCTTACAAAATATTGCTCCTAGAGCTGTTCAACTTTACAGGATCTACTGTAAATATAGATATTTTAGCATAATAGTGTACTGAAGATACAATAAGTAAATCACATAACATTATACAGTTATAATACTTCATGAAGATCAAGAAAATGAATTGTCCTGAAAATAAAAAAGCAGTGTTGACCCTAGAAAGGTGTCTATTGACAGAAGATTTGTAATTGTGCTATAACTTGCAGATGTACAGGGTATCCATAAAGTCTCTTTACAATTACAATACAAAGTCTGTGTTAACTCATAAGAGCTTTATGGACACCCTGTCGATCATAGAAAAAAATATTTAAATGATGATGTACTAATGTTGGTATATATAAGGTTGTCAACGTTGCTGTACCTTAAATTAGTCAAATACTTTACCATAAAAAACTTATACCGTACAGCATTTTATATGTACTTTGCAATTGTGTTTATCAAGTAAACTTTCAATTTTTGAAGCTAATAGATAATTAAGACTATTATTTACAACTGATACACTCTGCTACTGAAGTGTGAAAGTTTTCTGACACTCCAGCTTCACATGTTTCAGGTGCACAATGCTTTTAATATTGATTCGGGGAGTGTATCTATTTTGTTGTAATATTTATTGCCTTTACTTTTTTTCACTGATGGTACTACTCAAGTGTAGTATGGACTATCTTAAATTATATTATAATTGTCTAATTATTAATACACATATCTAATCTTGTCAATAAAGTATCTCAGTGCAATATTTATATGAAAACTGTCTTATGTTTTTAATTTTTTTTATTTCATTGAAAAATCTGATTCAGACAAGAAGTGGTGCGAGTCAGGCACGTAAAAAGGTAGAGAAAACATAAAAAGTGTACTGGAATATGAAAAAATTAACCAAAAGTCGAAAAAATATGGCTGTTGCTATTGATTTATATTATTTGTAAAATGAGGTGAGACAGCTTAACTCACTTTAAAAATATTAAGATTATATGCTCTAAAATATTTTATTTGGCTAGCTCAAAGTAAATACCTTATTCAAAGAGCTATGGCTCAAATTACATGGAAAACATATGTTCTATAATTAAGAAATATAGACCGAAGAGCAGGTTTTATATTGACATACCGCAGGGGTAGGCACAAAATGTTTCCCGGCTGTGCTAAAGACCAAAGGGAGTGGGGGCTTCAAAAGCTTTTGTGCCTAGCCCTAAGGGATGTATTTCTCAGTATAACACCTGCTCTGAGGTCTATATTATGATTCGAACATGCCGCGCAACAAGTGATAAGTACAGAGAGCACCGAGAGTCAAACAAAGTATACAATGACCAACTGCTGAGGAAAAAGCAGCATTAAATGCACTACAACAACAAAAACTAACCCAAATTTTTTGAATATTTCTGATGGCCCGCAATTACTACGGTATGATGTCACACATTACTCGTTTAGTGTCATGTAGTTATTACCAGGTGTATAGTGTCAATGAATACATACCAGATGAAATGTTGACTTTGTTCACAGTTTATAGAAGGTTTGAATACATTCATCTTCGAATTATTATCAATCATTAAAATTTCTGTGAAACTGGTGTGTCGATCGTGTGCTGTTCGGTGTTCGGACGTATACTAAAAAAAAGTTGTAATTGTTCGGAAATTCCATGTAGCTAACTTACGTCAGCCAATCAAAACCTACGTTTCATTATCTGTTCGGTATGCAATGCGGAAGTGATGAAAATCATATGGAAAATTTTTATTATTATTTAGGATAAAGTTGCTTTCTTTTAAGTGTACGAAGAAATGTTAAGAAGGGTAGCGTGTGCCATATCTGGAGGTGTTGATAGCGCAGTATCAGCACTATTGATGAAGCAGAAAGGTAGGTCTAAGCTGAACAGATTCAAATTTGATCAATTTCTTATTTTTCATTTTCATCATCTGTCATCAATTTTTATTTTTAATCATTTGATATATTTTGATCATATACATTAATGTTTTATAACTATATATATGTGACGATGCCCAAATGCAAGTTTTGACAAAGTATGTCGCAAAGATTCAAAATGGCTTTATTCCAGAAAAATCATGTTTTCAGCTATTTGTGGTCTAACTCTCCATTTCGGTATTGCGCGCATACAACAGAGGTTTACATTAGACTTCACAAGTTGAAAATCAATGGCGCTAGCTTAGCATTTATTTCTTACGTCAATCGATTCTAAGCACCACATGAACACTAAAAATTACGGCTATCTTCAAATCAGATTCATGATTCCATTGAGTACTTTGAATCTAAAAAATAACCAATCAAAGGACCATATTGAAAAAGTGTATGCAAAATAGAAACATTCATACAAGACCTAACTTTTGTATGTTTTGGTTTGTTTTGTAGTTTGGCATATATCAGGCCCGTAGGCAGGATTTTCCAAGGGGGGTCAGTTTTCAAGAATTTCCTGGGGAGTTCACATTTGACAATTTTGGCCCAAATATGGCTAAAATCACTTGAGAGGTGCTCAAAATGGTGAAAAACTGCATGATTTTGAAAGAAGTTTTGGCAAGGGGGGGGGGGGGGGGGGTTCGCCCGAACCCTGCGAACCCCCCCCCCCTCGACTATGGGCCTGGCTATCATATGTTTGGCCTTTTATATTTTGATGCTTGTTTAATTTGTTATTTTCGAAAAAGTTAGGCCTTGTAACAAAAGTTTTCTACTTTTTCATATAATGTTGCAATATGGTCAATGGTCATTTGAACTTTACATGGGACCTTTAAAGAGAATTGGTATGAACCCTGTTGACTGTGTTTTTGATTTGCAGGATATGACGTTGTTGGTGTTTTTATGAAAAATTGGGACTTACTTAATGAACATGGTAACTGCACACTTGACAAAGACAGAGATGATGCTATTGATGTATGTGGCAAACTTGGCATTCCTTTCCATGAAGTCAGCTTTGTAAAGGAGTACTGGAATGATGTCTTTGTGTAAGTCCAATACAGTGAATACATGTACAGTAAAATCTATGTGAGTGTACACCCTTGGTGGTTCTGAAAAGCACTGAACGGCAAAGGCTGCACATGTGTTTCCAGTGTTAAACCACGGGTGCAAAAAAGGAATGAATATATACACCAAAAAATTTCAGAAATTATTAGACCATGGTTCATTTCCATTATCAGAAGGGGTCTTTGTTATCAATTTATCCTCAATATTTATGTGCCTCCTGCTGTTTCTGATGTTATGAATTATCCCTCTGAGGGTGGGGGGGGGGAGTTTGTTAATTAAAACTTAAACAATGTATCCAAAATGCTCAAAACAAAAATGGTTAGTGAAAATTCAAATGGCTTTACTCAAATTCAACACTTGTACTGTTCTATTTTCAGACCTATGTTAGGTGAATATGAGAATGGGCAAACCCCGAATCCAGATGTGATGTGCAATCGCCACATTAAATTTGATGCTTTGGTCAACTATGCTGTGAACACACTCGGAGTAGATTCTGTTGCAACAGGACATTACGCTCGCATATCTGGTGGAAATGATCTCTCAAAATGGAACCCCCATGAAGGTTTATACTCTATCTACTTTTTGATCTTTATAACATTCAACAATTTATTTAATTTAAGGGTCTGAGTGGGTATGTCAAGATAAATCAGAGTCAATGAACATGAGCCCAAAATCAGTGAATCATAAGCCCATCGCTTTTTACATGTACATGTAATAGAAAGACTGGCAAGGAACAAGGCTAAAGAAGGGTAGCATGTGCTATTTGAGGGTGATTCTTGCAGGTGCCATTATATACCTTGATTATCTCAATATACACCTCCCCTATTCAGTAATTTAATACAAGTGGTGACATATTGTTATAGTCTCCAGATTTCTTGTGGACCATGATCAGCATCCGGTGGTTGGTGTTTGGTCTTCAGCAGTTGGTGTTTATTGATTGGTGATTGTGACACATGGTGTGTGGTGACATTTTGCATGTTTATCCCTCCTTTTAATTTTTACATTACAGAAAGAAAACTGTTAAAAGCATCTGATACATGGAAGGACCAAACATTGTTCTTGAGTCGTATACAACAAGCTGGTTTGAGGAGAGCTATATTTCCTATAGGGGGTCTTCAAAAAACAAAGGTCAAGGACATCGCACGAGGAACTGGCCTTGAGAGAATTGCAAACAAAAAAGAGGTATGATGCGATTGATTATATTATACATGACCATACCAGTATTGACCATATACTGTACTTCACTTAATTTGGCTGCCGTTTTGAAGTACGCCAAATTAAGTAGCAGCTAAATTCCCTGGTAATTTTAGTACCATGTAAATTAATACCATTAGTACGTTATAATATTGCAAGTTCATCCACCAAAAAATGAGTGACACCAAAAGTAGAAGTACAGTAGTTTTAACTTTCAACAGACAGTGTAACCTCCCATAATCTTGCAAAGATTGCCAAATTAAATCCACACCACTATTTTTAGAAATCCTAGTTGAAAAAGTATTTGCCCAGCCCTGCTTAAAGTTGAATTTCAAAACAGCAAAATGTTGAACTGAAATAATGAACTTGTCACTTCAAAGGTCAAAAACCTCTTTCAAAGTGAACATGAATGGCTTGAATTTAATTATCTAATGTCAACTGAACAGGGTAACTCTGAATCCACCAAATGAAAACTTCACCAAAAACCTTCGAATTGAACTTTGCCAAAAAATCTAAATTGAAGAATTTGCCAAATTAATTTGCAACAAAACATGCATTTAAATTATTTTTTACTATGTCAAGAAATCTTTTGGAGTGATATATGTTCTGATATTATGTGTTGTTTCTTGTTTCAGAGTGTTGGAATATGTTTCATTGAGCAAAAGAAGTTCCATTCATTTATTGAACAGGTAAAGGCTACAGCGTAAATTTTTCATGATTTCTTTCAAATTATTGAAAGATAAACGCACTCAGCGAGAGTGCCACTGATATCCATTGTGTAGATTCTTAATGAATAGAAAATATCATCGTTGGAATTTGAAATTTTGGTTAGAATTGGAAATATATCTCAATATATGTTCATAACAATTGTTTCAGTATATAGAGCCGAAGAACGGTCAATTCATCTGTGTGGAGACTGGAAAAGTGATTGGGGAGCATAAAGGTACACATTACTGGACAGTAGGACAATGTGCAAAGATCGGTGGCTATAATGTCAAATATTTCATTGTCCATATAGATCCAGAGAGCCAAAATATTACAGTAGTAAGTAAACTTTTTGCTTTTTCCATTTTTCATTTTGTAACTTTTAGCGATTTCATAAAAATAGACACTTATATGTCTCTGGTGTTTTTATTGATAACAATTGATTTATTAAATGTAAATATTTAACATTTGAATAACGGAGGATATAAATTTCAATCTTTTAATAATCCTGACATTACATGTAATACTTACTTTGGTTTAACGGGGGCTCCTTTAACATTAAATATTTGCTCAACAACTTGGTTGAAAATCCTGATGATTTATTAGACAATAGCCCTACATCTCATTTCTTTCAGGCTGCTGGGACCCATCACCCTGCTTTGTTCAGTACTTCACTATCCACAGAGCTACCTCATTGGATAAGCCAACCACCATGTGACTTTACTAGCCAATCAGACTCAACTTCCTTCAAGTGCCAATTTCGCTTTCAACACATTCATCCAATCATTGACTGTCAAGTGCATCACCATGGGAACAGACTGGATGTTGACCTGAACTTTCCACTTAGAGCTTTAACAAGTGGCCAATATGCAGTGTTTTACAATGACTTAGAATGCCTTGGAAGTGCCAAAATCTTACACCCTGGGCCTTCATTGTATGATATGGACCATAGAGAACCAGTTAATATCCCAAAGGCATTTTCTTGATGTAAGGAACTGCTGTACTTAATTAATTTGAAAAGCAAATTTGAATTGAAGATTGAATCAGACTTACATGTATTCCATGAATCTGGAGTGTTTGATGGTATAATATCACTTTAAATTACTTTACAAATCGTCGTGTTTGAGTGCAGTGATTTTAGCTCATGAATGATATTTATGCATTAACATGCAAAATGTCACTGCTAATATGGAACACTACTACTCTCAAGTAATTCCATATCGTTCAACCTTGTCAACCATCACTGTTACTGTTCTGTTTATTGAGCAGGTCTATGTTACAATGTTAAAACACAGTCAATTGCGTAAAGGTCGACCCCTCACAGAAGTGAAATTGACCTTTTATTGATTTTTGTCAATCTAAGTCGTTTCTTCTAAAATAATTGATGTATGCTCAATAAATTGAATGTATTATGTTTATAGGTGTACATTAGCATATTAAGTTCCTAGAGTATGCCTACCATTTGTTCCAAATACTGATTACCAAATGGCAAACACTCTCCACAAAAAAAGTTGGAGACTACGACAGTATGTCATCACTTGTGGTGGTGACATAATCAAAACTGATTTGTGGATTCAAATCGAAAATGTTTGAAAAGTTGGCCCCTGGTGATATATAAAGTGATAACAATTCTTTTTTAAAAATTATCTGTATTTATTAGCAACAAATTGTACAACATATAATATATCAATAAATTATTTTAAAATTCAATAATCTGTTATTCTGCTCCTTTATATAGTTTGGGAAATCATTTGTTTCAGCTGTTAATTTTGACAGATTGTACAAAAGGAACATACCACTATAATAACAAAGTTATGTTTTATTTCTAATTAGATGACATGGAAATTGTTAAGCTCTGGATATAAAACCAGCCCTGACAATAATATGAGTTAAGAATTAATGCCTTTTCTTAAAAATAATGCCAGTAAAATTGATTGGAATTGAAGTTGATTTGCACCTTTAACGCTATGGTGAGATGAGAATGTTTCACCACCATTTTGCTTCATTTTGGATTAACTTTGACACCCTGTCATTCACCTGGTGCTTGATTCTAATCCTTTTTGAGAAACAGTTGCTCCACACCTAATTAATATAATGCAAGTTCATAACTACAGTTCCTGTTAATTTAAAGTCCCTTTGTTTACAATAAGGATCTCATCAAAATTTAAAATAAAACATGATTCAATTTTTTGAAGTTCGACCCTAATATGGAACACTACTACTCTCAATTGATTCCATATCTTCCATCCTTGTCAACCATCACTGTTATTGTTCTGTTTATTGACCAGGTCAATGTTACAATATTAAAACAGTTTATTACATTAAGGTCGACCCCTCACAAAAGTGAAATTGACTTTTTATTGATTTTGTCAATCTAAGTCGTTTCTTCCAAAATAATCGATGTATGCTCAATAAATTAAATGTATTATGTTTATAGGTGTACATTTGCATATTAAGTTCCTAGAGTATGCCTACCATTTGTTCCAAATGCTGATTACCGAATGCCAAACACCACGGGGGATAAGCAAAACGAGGGCGAAGCCACGGACTGCGACTCGCGTAATTCGAAACGAGGTTACAACGCATTATAGCTGAACAATGGCGGTAAGTCCAAACTTAATTTGGAAGGCATGTTAGGATTTGGGGTAGATTATTGGTTTGGATATTCTACAGAATAGCTAGTATGTTCCAGTCGGTGATCAACATATTCATACTCCATCTGCAATGGCATTCTTGGTGCTCGGCTGTCCAATAGTTTAGCATGAACACAAATGAATTAGAAATCTGCCACAAAAAATGTAATTTTGTCAATATTTGTCCCTAATATACCGATTTAAACAAAGGAATCAGAAATGACATCGAATTAATATAATTATTCGATGTTCTGTTGTTACAATTACATCTTCGTGTGATATTTGGTAAGCGAGAAACGTACAATTACATAGAAAATTGGAATTTATAATAGTCGCAGTCCATCCATCTGCCCAACGCAGTCCGCAACTTAGTGTTGCTTTATATCTGAAGCTGAACGCAATCACAGCCAAAGGTAGATAGCACAATGTGTGTACAGGTGTGGCCGAAATGGAGCAACTTTGGACAAAATTGAATATAAAGGGCTATTTTAATAGACCTACATCGTGTCTCAATCCATTCTGCAAATATATACAAGCTGTCAAATACAGCTGAAATCATGAATTTATGGTAGCTAGCAATATTGATGGACTGTTGGAAAGATCATCCAAAATTACATTAACTCACCAACTCTCCAATTATTTGATATTTTCCTGATATCTTAAATACTAGTTAATGTACCCTTCCCCAACAGCTTTTATTGCATCATCAAAAAGTTAATTGTTTCGCATTTCTACTTCTTATAAAAGTCTCACCACTATCCAATTATCTATATATTTAACCCTATCCACAAATTGGTTTGTAATAAACATATTACGTTGTCATCTTGCGCTCGACTGTTCTGCCAAATACGCTATTGAATTGCCATATTTCTAGGTCTTAAACGATACAATATAGCAATTTGGGACATTGATTCAGGTAATAGATATCATATATGTTAATCAACGTAACTTTGAATGATAATCTGGATGCTGACTTTCTTTTCCTGAAACAATAATAGCGTAGGAATATAGTTTACACTATCTTATTTATTTCGTGTTCGCGGCTGGACTGCGTTACTTAGAATATCAATGGAGGCTGTGTTGCGTTGTTGAAATAGCTTTGTTTACTGGACTGCGTCCACTATGAATGCGCAGTTTGAATCTAATTTTCTCCTCATGAACACATTCTATTATCAAATCATTTTCACGAATTATACTCGGAGCCTCAACTAACCTTTAGATATCAGAAACGTGTTAAAACTCCTTTCAAATGTATAGTAAATTAAATAATATGCACATATTTTACAGGTAAAATCAGAACTTTGCTACTGTTTTAGCTTGATCTGGAAAACTGCTTATTTTCTTATCTACAGACCAACAGTAGATACAGAGTAATATCTTGGTCACCGATTAGACACTACGATAGCATTTAAAATACATGGATTTCTCTATTTTGTCGGAAGAAGCAGAAGGCACTGCCGGATGTCCCTCCATTTTGGCGCTGGGCTGCGGTGTAAAGTTACGCGAGTCGCAGTCCGTGGCTTCGCCCTCGTTTTGCTTATCCCCCGTGAACACTCGCCACAAACTACAACAGTATGTCATCACTTGTGGTGGTGACATAATCAAAATTGATTTGTGGATTCAAAACTAAAATGTTTGAAAAGTTGGCCCCTGGTGATTTATAAAGTGATAACAAGTCTTTTTTTAAAAGTTACCTGTATTTATTAACAACAAATTGTACAACATATGATATATCAATAAATTATTTTAAAATTCAATAATCTGTTATTCTGCTCCTTTATATAGTTTGGGAAATCATATGTTTCAGCTGTTAATTTTGACAGATTGTACAAAAGGAACATACCACTATAATAACAAAGTTATGTTTTATTTCTAATTAGATGACATGCAAATTGTTAAGCTCTGGATATAAAACAAATCCTGACAATAATACGAGTTAAGAATTAATGCCTTTTCTTAAAAATAATGCCAGTAAAATTGATTGGAATTGAAGTTGATTTGCATCTTTAGCGCTATGGTGAGATGAGAATGCTTCACCACCATTTTGCTTCATTTTGGAGTAACTTTGACACCATGTCATTCAATTGGTGCTTGATTCCTTTTTGAGAAACAGTTGCTCCACACCTAATTAATATAATGCAAGTTCATAATTACAGTTCCTGTTAATTTAAAGTCCTTTTATTTACAATAAGGATCTTATCAAAATTTAAAAAACAAGATTCAATTTTTTGAAGTTCAACCCTAATATTGAACACTACTACTATTAAGTGATTCCATATCTTCCATCCTTGTCAACCATCACTGTTATTGTTCTGTTTATTGACCAGGTCAATGTTACAAAGTTAAAACACAGTTAATTACATTAAGATTGACCCCTCACAAACGTGAAATTAACCTTTTATTGATTTGTCAATCTAAAAGTCGTTTCTTCTAAAATAATCGGTTATGTTTATGGGTGCACATTAGCATATTAAGTTCCAGTATGCCTCAAATCAAATGTTCAATATTCTTCATCCAATAAGACCGTCTAAAAGCATTACTCTCTTAGTCATCATCGTCCCAATCATCATCGTCATCATCTGGATCATCATCGTCGTCATCTGAAAGTAAGAATACCAAAAGCTCAACAGTAACCATAAGCATGAATCAAATATGTACAGAAAAGTCAGATATATAAAATGAGATGCTTAAAGATCTTAACATCCCAAATGGAGCTTTCGTGTTTTTTTACCAGAGCCTAAATGTGAAATGAAATTTAGCTACTTATAGGCGGAAAATGTGATAACCAACCAACCAGTCAAAAGTGTTTGGATGGGCAGGTGTTCAAATTTCAAGGTTTTCAGAACAGCAGTCTTTAGAAATTGAGATTCATATTAAAGAGGCATTTAGAAATACATGTTTCAATGTATTTTGATTAGATATTATATGCTTACCTTGTATAACATTGGCTCTGTTTGCAAGGGCTTTTGCTAAGGCACCAGCGAGTCCATCCTGGGGTGCACTTGTGGATGAATTCCTGTTGGAAGCCTGGTCCTCAGGTTTAACCTGTTGGGTACAAACATTTTTTTTTAACAAAATTCATAATTGTAACACTGCTCATATTCTTACATTCTACAGAAGCAAAGCTCCAAACATCATTCATTCTATTATTCACCCAAAAACTAATCAGTTTAAAATTTAGGAAACATCCCTGAAAATTAAAAATCAATGTGTTAAACAGTTCGACTGGAAGTCTGTTGACAAGCCAGACAAGCCAGACAAGAGTATATGACAGATCATGAAAAATGAACACTTTAACATTTACTTAAAACTAATCAGATCTTTTACATATACAAAGAAACATCCCTGAAAATTTTAAATCAATCCATCATGGTTAACTTGAAAATGCATAGTGCAGATAAACAAACTGATACTGATATCAAAACTTGCTTCTTGTAGACCTACCTCTTTTAATTTTGTTCCTTGTCTGATCTGACTGAGTAGACTGTTCCTTCCATCTTCTTCTGGACTTGGAAGTTGCTCACTAGGATCGACCTTCTTCAATTGTGTCCCCAGTTGGATCTGTGACAGCAAATCTCCACGTCCAGCCTGGGGTGGTGGTGGTGGGGGACCCCCTCCTCCTCCCATCATGGGGGGAGGTGGTGGAGCTCCCATACCAGGAGGCGGAGGAGGCCCTGGGGGAGGAGGGGGAGGGGCTCCACCACCAGGGGGAGGGGGAGGAGGTGCGCCACCTGAAGGTGGGGGCGGGGGTGGGGCGCCCATATTTCTGGATGGAGCCGGAGGAGGTGGAGCACCCATACCACGCTGGGGCCCTCTAGAAGGTGGTGGAGGAGGAGGGGCAGACCCATTACGCCCAGGGGGTGGTGGAGGAGGGGCTCCCATGTTTCTGGATGGGGGAGGGGGTGGGGCTGCCATACCACTCCTACCTGGTGGGGGAGGAGCTGGGGAATAGCCTGCAAAACATAAAATATACTAAGAAAAAACCCTTTCAAAACTGCAAATCAATCCTTTCAGTGCTTAGCCTGAAAATGTGAGACATAATTTCAATCAACCAACCAAACTGATCAAAGCAGCAAAAGGTGTACAAAAAACCTAGTGGGCAGTTCTAAAATGTAAACCCTGTAACCAAAAACTCTCCCTGGATTTAACTTATTTATCACGTCTAGTATCTTACCTCCTGATGAAGGGGGTGGGGGTGGAGGGTCTCGATTAGAAACCTCTTTCTTAACTGCATCAAGCCCTCCCTGTTGTTCAATGAAGTCATATATAAATGTAGCAGTTTCCTTATCTTGGAGCTCATTGGCTGATATACCCGCTTGGTCAAATAGGTTCTTCAAACTAGGGTCAAGGTTGTTCATCTAAAATCAGACATTCTATCTTTGTCAGATCATGAAACTTGACATTCAATTCTTTACATTCTGACTAGACTAAGATACTTTAAATACTTTTACCAAATCTTCTGCTCTGGTATCACATACATTAGTGAAGTGTATACACAGAAATTCATATCAAACTATACTATTACATGTATATTCATTTCATGATTACTCAATGTATTACATATATGGCACTGATAACAGTGAGAGAAGGATTAATTTTCAGTATATTTTTACATTGATTCAATTTCAGGATGACTTATAGGGATAACAACTACGACAGAAAATTGTTCATTTGGACTCACATCAAATCCCTTGTCAGGATCCCAGCCCACATGTCCCACATGGACAAAGTTAGTAGGGGTACCAATCATGTCCTTGTTGATTTTCTTCTTCTTGTCTTTGCCCTTCTTCTTCAGGGTGCTTGTTCCCTTGTCAGCTGCAATGGTTGGCAGTGGTGGAGAGGACACAACAGGTTTGGGCGGTGATGCCGTTGCCTTAGGAGCCTGAGCTTGAGGCCTTGCAGTAGCTCTTCTTTCTGAAATATCCAGACATATAGCCCCAATGAAGTTGTCTTTGTCAACTATTCTTCATCATGGGATGCTTCCATACCAGACCCGTACCAAGGATTGGCCAAGGGGGGTTCACTTTTTGAAAAATTCCAGGGGGGTTCACTTGTGACAATTTCGGTCCAAAAATGGCCAAAATCACTTAAAAAGTGCTTAGAATGGTGAAAACTGCATGATTTGAAAGATTCTTTGGCCAGTCCTGCATTCTGCCTATTATTATTAGCAGTATAACAACGTCAAAGGATTCAAGATCTAAGCAAACAGTTTATGGCATATAAATATTGTTGAAATCGAGACATATCAGGGGCGTAGCCAGCTTTCAGTCGCCAAAAAAATTTCAGTTTTTGGTTAGGGGGGGGTGCGATTGTGGCATAAACAAGCCAAAAAATAAGATTTATCTTGACTTCTACAAAAATTGATGCAATTTCCTTCAAAATTGAGATAGAAGCTTCAAATAAAAAGCATTTTAAAGCTCCTTTCTTCTTCTCTCTCATGGTTTTTATTAGTTATGGGGGGGGGGGGTTAATGCGATGGGTTAGATCGCAACCCCCCTGGCTACGTCTATGCATATATTATATTATGTTTGCATAAACACATTTCTTCGTGTCTTACCCATTTTACGCTTGTGCTTCTCCTCCAGTTTGTCTTGGATGACTGTTTTGAATCTGTTTGCTTCATCATCATTGGCAAAGTTCAAACCTGCAGTGCAATCCTGAAATAATTTACAAGATACATAATAATTATTGTAAATAAAGCGTAAAAGGGATATAATTGTTCCATGTGTTAATGTCTCCCTCTGTTTGTTTAAAAACAACCAGGCATTTTTATTTTATTCTTAGCTGGATGTGACAAAAAGACATGTCAAAGGATGAGGGAAACTTAGAAAAAAGGTTACACCAGAGCGATTTTGGGATGACTAGGAAGACAATGAGAAACAGAAACTTTATTTGTATGGGCCTTATTATTATTAACTTATACTTACATCTGTATCGAAGGTGTGGAAGAAAGGTCTTGGTGTGCTATACTTGAATTGATTGTATAGTTCCTGCTCCCAGATCATTCTTTGGCTCTGCAATAATAGAAAAAACATTCACATAAGGCCTACATCAAGTCTTAGGAACCACACTCCAAATCTAAAGATGGTCCACTTCTGAGTCTAAGGGCTGGTCTATTGGTCATTACCAGGTCACCTTTGATACGGATCAGTTGATTTTTTCAGTGGGTATAGGAAAATAACATGGCAACTGGTCAGTTGTGCCGTTTTGACTGGGTGCTCTCAGAACCTTCGCTCATCCCCTGTATTATCTAATACACTTCCAGGTAGAGATAAGGTATGTATGTAAATGCAGAAACAACCTTTGCAAAACTAGCATTTATAGCTTATTCAAATGATTAGGAAATTTTCTGTGTAAAGTTTTATTCTTGTATTTATTTATCGCAAAGATTACCTTGATATCATAAACCCGTATGAAATATGAACGCTTTGGGTTGTCTTTGATAAAAGTCGCCACACCGCAGCATCTTTTATTCCAGCGATTGCGACTTGGCGCCTCAGCCAGGAACACTTGGACAACAGCACTGGCGAGTGTCTGAAATGAAAATGTTATTGAAAATTTGAAATAGCCCTGAAACTGGACTTTGCTGAAGCAAAGAGATGTAGTAGTGAATGGGACAAGCTGTATTTTTGGTACATCTTACAGTAATACTACATAAAAGTAACAAACAGTTCACACCATTATTGCTAATTCAGGATCGCTTATTTTATGGGTGCGATCAGAAACCTATAGAGAGGTATACAATATGACAAATTTCAAAATTAAAGTTAAAAATGATGAACAGTCCAGTTCAATATTTAGGATACTTTCTTGGACATAACAAAAAATGGCATGTAAATGGGGAAGATCAGGTCATTAAAATAAAAAAAGTATGAAACAACTGGAAAAATGTTGTTTATATGAAAATAAATTAAGTTTAAATTTCAATTGGATAGGAAAAAAAGAAAAACAATCAACATGGTACTGTAATACCAATAATATAGGAATATACCTGTAATATAGGAATTTATAGTGATATACATACATGTATGTCCAATTTACAACTTTTTAAATATATCAATAAACTGTGCCAACCTCAACTAATCATAAGGCAGGTACATGTACATGTAGTTTAGACATAGAGCCAATCTGTAAACTAATACTCTTACATGTAATACATGGCTGTGTTAATTTGCCAGTTTATCATCTTTTAAAGCAGATTAAAGGCGGTTGTCATGGATCAAAAGTGGTATTATTAATATGAAAGATTTGGTAAATCGAAACAGATTGCTTGATATTAATAGTACCACATACTTTTTGTAATATACATGTACTTTGATATTATTGTACGCACTGTAGGAAATATACAAGATGATTTGACATCTCAAATTTTGTAAACTTTATTTTTGCACATTTTGTAACACTTCCGAATCAAATTTACCAACTTAACCCAACATTAAATTTACCTAGGTTTCTACAATGTACAGATTTAAAGAATCGATCCCTATGTTCAGTCTGAATACATCAATACAAAGACCAATTGTATGATTAAAGGTAGAATCAAATCTAGCAAGTACTATGATCATGTTGAAAATTGTTTCAATTTTAGAATATTTTGGGCTCATACATGTACCATTAACCATTCCTTCTTATGTACCGTATTATCTCTAATAAAGGCACACACTCCAATAAACGCACACCAGACTTTTCCAAGAAAGACTAGCAACTTGAAAAACAAACGAGAACATCAGTTCTGACCTCAAGAACTATGTTCCTTGCACTTAAACCACGATTCTCACATCGAGAATGTGAAATCTTTAAACGTGCACCACCATTTCCTCGCTCCCGAACACGGATCTCTGTGCACGAGTGGAGAAATATGTTCAGGAGTGCGGAAATCGTGGAACACAACGATTTCATGTTCAGGATGTGAGAATCGTAGTTCGAGTGCAAAGAACGTAGTTCGCAAGATCAGAACTGATTTTCTCGTTGGTGGGAGTCTAGTAGCCCTGAATGTCAAACCTGCAAATCTTAAAAATATATTATCTCAATATCTGCAAAAAAATAATAAAAATGACACCCACCAAACATCTTGACCCAATTGTAGTGAAGAGAATCTCATTTTCCTGATTAGAAAGCAGCCTGCTTGGTTTGTTGTTAGACTTCTGACTTGTCCTCCTATTTCTGGTCTGGTCAGACATGGTTATACCCTCTAATAAGGAGAAATGTTTCACGATGTATGATTTCACTTCCTGGTTTGGAAATGGCAGTTTCCGGCCTAGAGCTGTTAAATTATACCGATTAAAAATATAGTCTTTCAGTTTTATTCAAACATTTTGATTTATGAAATAACTGTTGGTTTATTGTTGTAATGTTTCATTATTGCATTTATTTAAGTAACTACTATTAGGTTGTGATAATTGCCATTGTAGTGCAGAAATAAAGAACGAATGAAAGATGTAACGCGTATTGATATATACTTCTAGTTCCTGACCTCGGTTCAAAGGTTGTGACACAGACCGATTGGAATGCCAGAAAAGTAAGGCGATGTTTGTCCACATATATTGTTTGCTCAAGACACATAATCAGACGAAAGTAATGAAACTGACATGGAAGGACCTTTGAGAAGTTGTGTAGAAGAGATACAACATGAGTGAGACGCGGTAGCTCAAATAAAAGAAACACAAATTGAACTTAGAAAAATAAATGGAACATTTTTCAACTCAACTTCTGAATCCACAAAAGAAATTAGACTAAAATCTAGTTCAAATAAATTTGCCAAAATGAAACAAGAGATGAGAAACCAGTATAGAGTCGAAAATAGCAGCATGTCTTCATCGACAGTGATACGACATCATCACAAACACAACTTGAAGAACAGGTTTGAGCTAAAGAAGACGCTCGGCCAGGGAACTTATGGGAAAGTAAAGTTAGCGGTGGAAAAGTCTTCAGGACGTGAGGTATTATACTTTGTTTTTATTACGAATACCTCGACATCATAGTAAGAGTTTATTATAGAGTGGTTCTTAGCTTTGTCAGCTTCCTTCTTTGTTGATTAGTTGTTAATTAGAGTTAATTAGTTATAAGTGAGGTTCCTCCAAAATTATGACTCGGCAATGGTTAACAGTAAAATTTTCTACATTGGAACAAGAATTTGGAAAAACCCACATTTCAAAGTATTCTATATTAAAAAGTATGGGCAGCTTCTACGCTAATTTTATGAAATGAGATTTTGTTGAGTCATGATCTCTGACCTGTATTGTATTTTAAGTTTTTAATGAAACCAAAACATGCAAATATTTCTGAGTACACATCTTTTGCTTGATAGGATTTAAAAGTATGGCTTCAGTATCAAAATCTGGACACTCAAGCCATAATATGACTTTAATTACCTTTTGTGATAGACACAGGTATAATTTTATTTCATTGATAATTTATGTTTATTTAAAGTGTTATAATTTATTTACTTCTAGAATTATTAGAATCATAATTCAATAATTATTGAATTTTATCTCAATTTTTGATAAGTGATGTTTATGAATGCTCATGGCATATTTGCAGGCCTGTCAACTGTCCCCCAATTTGCGTATTTGTCACGCATTTGCTGAAGAATTTGAAGTCACGCCAGTTATTTTTGCGTGACAGAAAATGTCACGCAAATACGCATTTTACCTGGTAATTGTCAAGCAAAAATATTTCTGTAAAAAAATTTCTAAAAAAGATCGTCTACACAGCAAAAATACGAACGCCGGAAAAAAAAAGTACGCATTTCGGTCGGACTTTTCACGCGAATTACGAATATGTCACGCATTCCGTTCGAAAATTTTACCTCCCCCCCCCCCCCCCCCCCCCCCCCCCCCCCCCCGTTGACGGATGTTTGAAACGCGAGCGTAGCGAGCGAGAAAAATTTGAGGTGTTCAAAATTTGGCAAGATGTAATGAAATTTAAACCAAGGTGTTCAAAATTTGGATCAAGGTGTTCAGATTTCGACCAAGGTGTCCACATTTTGAGGGGAGGTGTTCAACATTTCCAAGTCACTCATGTTAGGTGTTCCCAAGTTGACAGGCCTGTATTTGGGGTCAAATCAATGAAATATAGAAAACGGCAATATATCAGAAAACCATGTTTAATTAAAGGTGCAATGTGGAAGTGGAAGTCCCCTTTTGAAGCTTTGAACTGAATTTACACTTCTTAATGCTGAAATTGATAATTTATCCATACATTTTAAGAAAATAGGTATGTCAAAGAAGATGTTAAACCAAATGTTGCCTTGATAGCTCAGAAAAAATGAAAAAACTCTCCTATTTTCTCTACAGTCCTTATTGCCCCTTTAAGGCAAGGTACATGTGGTATAATGCAAGAAGTATGAGTGCAAAATAGTTATAAAATTGGCAAAAATATTTGCAACAATTTAGTACAGTTCAGATTTAATGACGTCAGAAAGGTTGATCAGGACAATTTAAATTCCCAAAGTCAACTTCCAAATGCATAAACTTTACTGTTGAAATGTATTATATCTAGATTATCCCGATCAATGGGTTTTTGAAAACAAACTTGCTCATGTGGATTTGGTCTGCACTTGAAACTTTCTTCAGTGGTTCGCGTGCCGGATCACCGAAATCTCATCATTATATTGTACTTCTTAACTTTTAAATCTGGCTCGCTCAAAGAAAAACCGGAACTTGAAAAAGAGATTTGATTTTCACAACTGACATTCATTATCAATGAAAAAGAATCTGCGTTATTTCTATTCTTGAGGAACTCATGCATGCTGGGCGTTAAGTCTAATTCAGGGTTAATCTTGCAGAGATTACCAAGTATTTAAAATCCTGCTGCAAAAGCTTATTTAGACGTATGAATTTTCCAAGTCTATGTCAACACATTACCTGGGACCAAGTAATATAAATTTAAACCAATAAAAGGGAATTCCTAATCTATTATTCTGCTTTTAACACTTGAAGTAGAATATCTAATGGCATGCCAGGCTTCAAGAATACTAAAATATTTCAATATTTTGTTTATAGCTTTTTGATTGACCAAGCAAAATATTGAGCTCTAGTAGTGCCACTGTAGGCAAAATAATCATTGGGATTTGCGTTAATCTTCTCAAGTATGTGTTGATGTTGATTCAGCGATTCTAACAGTTGCATTGTAATACTGGGAACACGGATGCTGTAGTTACCCCCTACCCTGTGCCAGGGATTTCATCCAGTGTTGTGTTGACATATCTGAATTGAAAGCACTCATTGAACTAATATTTCCAAATTCACATGCTCTCACGTTTAATCGATTTCGTATTGATATTCCCAGATTCAAAGAATTCAAAGAATGTCAGGCTGCTTATTTATTGATGGGATGAGATCACTTTTATCTGATTTTATTTTTTCGCCTGATGATCTTAATAATACTCATTCCATTATAACACTCAAAGGTTCACGTGTACATCAATGTTTTTTTAAATTTTCAATTCAAAGAAATTCAGATCAAAGAAAACTTGGAGATTTGTACTTAGGGTCGTTCAGGTAATCGAGTCTTAGTTGTCCTCGATCATAATATGATGTTTATTTGTACGAAATTGTTTGAAAAGCAAAGAAATGGCGCATTGAAATATATTTTTTTGAAATACACAAAGCAATGATTATTCATTATGTATTTTACATTCTTGCAATTGACACTATTCAAAGTCAGCTATTGTATTAAATCTGAGCCCTGTGGTTTTTGCTTGTTCAAATCAACAGTGAAAAGGACCCATTGTGTACAGTATACTCCTCCCTCATATTTTAAAGCTAAATATCAGCCAGGGCATTGTATAGGTATTGAAATATTTCTCTTGACTTTGAAAAAATGGATAGACTTTAATATATTGCACCTTTGTGCCATTTTGTGTACTATTGACATAGACAAAGAAAAGAATTTTACTTTGTGCAAGGTAGTTACCGATTTCACTTTTTTTGGTTACTCTCTAGGGGTGGGAGGTATTAGTATTCTGTTTACAATCAACACTTTTATTGAGTTTAGTGATGGTCAAAATATTTACTTTCATCAACTTTCAATATTTGCTCAAACTTTGCAGAATGGCTGAAATCAATGTTTTGACCCAGGTGCAAAACAGCATTCTATGTACATGTTTTTCTCAAAAGACAAGTTAATTTCTATTTTCTACTTTTATATGTCCCCTTTTAACCCCTCAAAAGTTGAAAAGTCCAGAGTGTGTTCTATTTTCAGACAGTATAGTTCAAATTCAATGACATAGAAGGTGTTGTTTTGACAAAATTATTATGTTGAGACATTTGTATAAATACGAATTGCACTTTCGTTAAAATGAAATTCCTAGTAGCCTTGAATGCACATATAAGGTCATTTAGTACAACGTTGTTTTGGTTTGAAGATGATTTTAGTTAAACATTGTTAAATATTATGATTGCTTGACCACACTATTGTTTCTTTTGCTTAATTTAATATAAATATACGTGGAAGTCAGGTGCAAAATATTAATCTAGGTCCGGGTTCCAGGCACCTTAACATGTCAATGTTTTCTTATCACAAAATACTTTCAGTTTAAGTACATAAATGGGATATTCTATTGTCATCTATAATGCATATGCGTACAGTCAACTTCCAAATCTAGGGCTGTCAACAAAGCCATGAATTAAATTGGTATTAAACATTCTATGAATTCATAATTTAATTTATCATGAGTCACTATTTTATCAAGGTTGATCTAATGATTTAGTTTATTTCATAGACTGGATACTTTTACTGGTGACTGGCATCTATATGAAAGAATAACTGATTTACTATGATATACAGAACAGATAAATAAAGACATAAAAATTCCTTTATTTCACTCTTCTAGGCCCGCCTTAAGCTGAAATATTTCAAAGTCTACATAAAAACTTCCTACAAAAGCCAATCATAAAAGAAGTGCCTTAAAACAGGTGCCCGAATTCTTAATAAAATGAACTTTCTTTTGGTAGTATTATGTTTTTATGCAGATATTTACATTTACATCTTTTTACAAAACTGATATCGTATAAAAAAAGTATTAGCAATAGGAAAGTGCCTAATTTTTTGCCCCTTTAGTAAACATTGCTGACATGCTATAGCTAGGCTGTTGAACTTTTGACTAATGTTTATGTATCTTTTATATATGTTTTGATATCAAAATCCATTTGCGTTCCTTAGAGGCAAAAAATGAAGTAAATCTGTGTTAATCCACAATATACCACAGTTATGTAGGAATGCAGCCTCAGGAATTTTTTTTAAATGGTTCATATTGAAGATTTGAGACAGGCGGGTCTTGGGCATCTCAGACATCTGTTCTTTCTTTATTTTTAGAATGTTTCATTATGTGTTTGTCTCTATTATAATTATTGTGGTTGGGTCATACATTTGAGGTTAACCAGATCTCCCTTGTTACTCCTTTAGGAGAAACCAAGAGACTTGTCAGAAAATGGGAGATGATCTTTTTATGTTTAATACATGCAGTAAAAGTAATATATTCAGGTAACATCCTAAATCCAAGCCATGCAACTAATAAAAATGACTGATCTGGTTCTTATGCTCAATGGTCTCAAATGCATATTTTCTTGTCCATAATGGAAGTTTGATTATTTTAATGAATGTCTGCTACTTGAGACAGAAGTTTTATGCTTCTCTTACTACATACAGTAAAACCTGTCTTAGTGAACACCTCTCTCTAGTGAACACCTTTCTCTAGTAGACAATCTTCCCCCACACATACTCTACTGACTTCTGTATAAATTACCCTCTCTAGTAAACACCTACCAACACTGAACATTTTTTTCTCGGCAAGAAATGTTCAAAATACACAAGTTTTACTGGATACATTGTGATAAGAAATAGGCTAGATGTAGTCAGGTAGGGTCGTTTACCTTCAATTTTGGACTTTTGTCAATGGATCTAATGATGCACATAATATATATGATATGCATTGTGC